ACCCATGTCTGACTCCAAGCCTTTTTGGTGCCCTGCTCTGGGCAGCAAGATTTGGAATTGGAATTGTGGGACATATTTCACAGCAGCACTTGGAATGTAGGTGGTGGCACACACTCTTATATAATTGTTTTATAATTATCTCAATAATGAAGTCAGCTGGAATCTTTTTTAAAAAACTTGCTGATTATAAACAACAGAGTATATATTCATAATAAAGTGGCCCTTGAGCATATCTAAAAGGGTTCCTCAAGCAGGGCTTTTGTTTCACTGGTAGATTTGGGGAACTCCAGCCTTCCTAAAAGGTGCTCTCAATCTCCCTGACCAAAAAGCTCCTTCACCCCTGTTCCTTCCCCTACTTAAAAGTTATGGTATTTATCACTTTATATCCTTGGTAAGATTACATTTACATCTGTCTTAGCTCTACTGCTACATTGTGAAAACTTCAGGGCAGGAACAATATTCATTAATGAATAACAAAAATAACATTGCTTAGTTTTCTTAGTTTTAAGCAGTGAGTATTTTTGAATGAACAAATAACGTAATTGTATCCAAGAGGAGATATTCTAAAAGGAGAAAAGTGAAATCATCAAGTGAAAGACTGGTTACCTTATTTTATACCATAGAGGTTGGTCATAACCCATTCAAGATAGAATGGGTTATAGAAATCATCTGGTCACAAATCCTCCTTGGATGGATTAGCAAATGGAGGTTTAAAGAAATTAAGGTTCTCTACTGAGTTATGTTGTGGCTCCATTGGCACTTTCCTTTCAAAAAATGGTTAAAACTAAGTATTGCATTATGGGTTTCATGTGCTACAGCTGCAAAAATCAAAATCTAGTCTTGATTGCCAGAACCATTGAAAGTTGACTTGAAGCTACTTTACCAATTCCCATTCTCAATTTCCACCCTCTATGATTGCCAAAGAATTATGGTTTTAGAGAAATTTTTTTCCTTGTATTTTAACGTATTGGGTTTTTATAGCAGCTGAAATAATTGTACTATCCTGGGCTACCTGGGAACTTATTAAATGATTTTGAGTTGGCTGTGACTGTGTTTGAGGACTCAGGAATCTGACTTCCTGGGTCCAAATTTCAGCTCCTTGACTTTATTTACTAGCTATGTGATGTTGGGCAAGCTACCACGCTTCTGTGCCTATCTTCTTATCTGTTAGTTGAGGTTGGTTACCTTATAGAATTGTTTTGTTTTCCAAGTTGGAGTCTTACTCCATTGCACTGGCTGGAGTGTGGTGGCATGCTCATGGACACCGCAGCCTTGACTTGCTGGGCTCAGGCAATCCTTCCGCCTCAACCTTCCAAGTAGCTGAAACTACAGGCGTCTGCTACCATGCTTGGCTAATTTTTCAATTTATTGTAGAGATGAGGTCTCGCTAAATTGCCCAGGCTGTTCTCAAAACCATGGGCTCAGGCTGTCCTCTCACCTTGGCTTCCCAAAGTGCTGGGATTACAGGCTTGAGCCAACATGCTCGGCCATAGAATTGTTAAGAGAAATAAATTGGTCTATTAATGTGTGGGGTTTTTCTGGATCCTTGGAAATAGTCAATAAATGTTAGCTGTTAGGATGATCATAGAATACCAAATAGCTTGAGCCACCTTTATTTATTCAATATTTTTCTTTTATTGGTAAAGGGAATGTTTACTGAATTTTTTCTCAAGATTTCATAATAAAAACAATGATGGAAGTAAAATTTTATTGGGATCTGGAAGTTTTTGGTATGTAAACCTTGTATGTTAAGACCCTTTCAGATAGAAGAAATAATATGAGTAAATTCTGATGGGAAGAACCCCAGGGCTTGCCCCAGGTAACAGTAATTCAGAAAGGTGCTCCCTGGGGAGAGCTGGGAGAGTTGATAGGAATGGAGGGTTTTTTTTGTTTTTTTGGTTTTTTTTTAGTCAGAGTCTCACTCTGTCATCCAGACTGTAGTGCAGTGGCATTCTCACGGCCACCGTATGCTGCCTTGATCTGCTGGGCTCAGGTGATCCTTCCTCCTCAGCCTTCTAAGTAGCTGGAACTACAGGCACATGCCACCATACCCAGCTAAGTTTTTGATTTATTGTAGAGATGAGATCTCACCAAGTTGCCCAGGCTGGTCTCAAACCCATGGACTCAGGCAATTTTCTCACCTAGACCTCCCAAAGTGTTGGGATTATAGGCGCGAGCCACCAGGCCCAGCCAGGAATGGAGATTTGGGGTTAACTCATGGGTACCTGAATTGGAGACCAAGGAGTTGGATTGGGGACCTTTGGGTACCAAGATCTCCTCTCTATAGCAAGGTAGAGAGAGGAAGTATTAGAAAAGGTGGGACAAAGCTGGGAAGACCAGCTGGGAGGCATTGAATAGGTGGACTAGGGCTGTAGAGGGTGTACAGCATTGATAGGACTTAACTGATGGTGTGAGGAAAGCTGCTCTCCAGCCTGGGCAAGTACCGTGAGCAGAAGCAGGCATCTGAGGGGGTGAGTTTGGGATAGAGGAATATGATTTCAGTTTTGTGAACATCAGTTTGAAGTACAGAGAACTGGCCCTATGAGAGAAATTCAGACCTGGAACCCAAGCAAAGACTTTAGTATTGGAGATGCAGTCAGAGAGTCATTTCCGTATGTGTGACAGTGTCAATGACATGGGATTACAAGAAGCCCTCTGAGACTGGGCCGTAGACTCTAAAGAGACCCTACCCACACTCCTTAGATTGTGACAGTGAAGACAAATACCACAAAACACCAGAGTGTGGGAATCCAATTCAGCTGCCCTGTGCGGCCCAGAGAGTCGCTCAGAGTACTCCTTGCCTTTCTTCTGGTGCCTTCTATCTTTTAAGCTTGTTTATGAGCCAGAGGAAGAACTGCTATTTCCCTTTCCCTGTCACATCCTGGTGGTCAGAGACTAATCAGATCATTAATACTGTGCAGAGAATGGGGCCCCAATTATGAAATGAAAAAATGTGTGGTGAAATGTACATAGTCTATATCACTATGTTAGAAGATAGACTCTAAAGATATAACTTTGAATTTCAAAAATGTCAAGACCAAACTGTTTTATAACCTTTCATTTTGTATGTGGTTTTCAATGGGTATAAAAATACTCCGTGGGTGTGTGGGTGGTTTTTTGTGTTTTGGAAATGGTAAGAATATGAGATGCTGAGCTTTGGGTTCTGGGACGAGAGCTGTAATTACTAACTGATTCTTTCCCAGGATTGGCTTGTGGGTAGATATCTGGTAAATAAAAACCCAGCAATCCAGAGTCCAGAGTGATAACCCCCTTCTCCCCTCCCCCTGAAATTTAAAGTATCGTCATGGTGCAGAAGAGAGGGCATGTAGGGTGCGTTTGCCTTGTCCTGTCTCCTTGCATACCAGCCACTGGCTGTTGGAGCCGGCGACACAGCAGAGGCAAAGGCTGGTGCCGTGGCTTCTCCTAGCCTGACACACGACAGCCACTGCACAGCTGTGATGGGAAGAGTGCTAAATATAACCCAGAGCTCATCTTGAATCCTCCGCCCCAAACTCTCGGCAGATGTGGTGAACACCCTAAAAATACCTGCTGTCTGAAGCTTTGAGGTATCTAAAGAGGAAGGGGCAGGGACTAGAACGGGGCCAGAGGTAGGACGGTGTTATTGGGAGGCCCTCCCAGCCACTGGGACAGCTGCCCTCCATGCCTGCCCCTAGCTGGTGGGTGTGCTGTCTGTCGTGCCGTCCTGTTCTAGGATAAGTACCAACCCTTGAGGCTCATAGTTCCTGTTGGCAGGTTTCAAGGAAACTATTCATAGGCCAGACATTTGTTCTCTGTCCCATTGACCTCAGAACTGCAGCTGCCACCATGGTATTCAGATAATGTGTTGGGTTTTAGTCTTATTTCACAGAATCAGAACTTACGGGCTTTAGATATCTTATGTGTTGCTCATACCCATTAAAGTCACTGCACTTATGGAGTTATGTTTCTGAACCTATGTAGTCATAGACATAGACATCAGTCCTTGGCTGTTAAAAGAAATCACCCTCATGATTATATAACCTAAAAAATTGGAGAATAATGAAAACCAGTCTTTTAAAAACATAGGCTGGGTGTGGGGCTCACACCTGTAATCCCAGCACGTTGGAGTCTGAGGCAGGAGGATTCCCTTAAGCCCAGGAGTTTGGGACCAGCCTGGACAAAATAGCAAGACACTGTCTCTACAAAAAATAAAAAAATTGCCAAGCACAGTGGCTTACGCCTGTCATCCCAGCACTTTGGGAGGCAGAGACGAGAATTGCCTGAGCCCATAGGTTCGAGATCAGCCTGGGTAACTTGGCAAGACCTCTTCTCTACAACCAAAAAAATTAGCTGGGTGTGGTGGCACATGCCTGTAGTTCCAGCTCACTTGGAAGGCTAAGGTGAAAGGATCGCCTGAGCCCAGCAGGTCAAGGCTGCAGTGGTCGTGAGTATGCTACTGCGCTCCAGCCTGGGTGACAGAGTGAGACTCTGACCCAAAAAATAAATAAATAGGACTTAAAAATTAGCTGGGTATTGTGGCACGTGCATGTAGTCCTGGCCACTTGGAAGACAGAGGCAGGAGGATCACCTGAGCAGGAGTTCAAGGCTGCAGTGAGCTATGATGACACCACTGCATGCAAGTCTTTTTTTTACTATGAGTTGACAGCAAAAGGAAAGTTTTTTCTTGAGCTATGGAAACTATCAAAATGGTTGGAGCTTTTTGTAACTTAGTATATATCTGAACTAGTCACCTATAGAAGCTTATGTTCCACCTGCTTATAGCAAGAAGTGAACTACTCTGGGAGACAGCCTTCTTGGGGAGACTGGGATTTTGTGGGATAAGACTAACTTTGGAGTTGTTGATGGCCTCAGCGTAGAGAAGCCAAGGAGGCTGTGAGTTCTCAGAGAGTCTCCTTTTCCTGTGCATGTCAAGAGGAGAGGAAGGGAGCAGAAGCGTCTGTGATGTGATAGCCAGGTGGCATATTTGTGGACTCTCAAATGTTTTTCCTCTGAAATTACAGAATGAAGAGCTTCGAAACTTGTCCCTTTCTGGCCATGTTGGATTTGACAGTCTCCCTGACCAGCTGGTCAACAAGTCAACTTCCCAGGGCTTCTGTTTCAACATCCTGTGTGTTGGTAAGTGGTTTATCACCTGCTACTGAGCAAGGAGTGTTTCCGTGAAATGGAAGAATTATATTTTTACCCTTTTTTAAAATCAGTAAAACAAGGGGAAATACCTGTTGTACACACATATCACATAGTTATAAAGAGTCAGAGTTGTATTTGGGTAATGCTTTGTCAACTTTGTGGTGTTATTCAAATTATTATTTTTATTTCTATCTCACAGCCAAGCAACAGGTCAGTTTAATATTGTAATTAAAACAAGTATTTTGGACCAGGTGCAGTGGCTTACGCCTGTAATTCCAGCACTTTGGGAGGCTGAGGTGAGAGGATTGCCTGAGCCCACGGGTTCGAGACCAGCCCGGGCAACTTGGTGAGCCCACATCTCTACAATAAATAAAAAAATTAGCTGGGCATGGTAGCACATGCCTGTAGTTCCAGCTACTTGGAAGACTGAGGCAGAGGGATCACCTGAGCCTAGCAGGTCGGAGCTGCGGTAGCCATGAGTGTGCCACTGCACTACGGCCTGGGTGACAGAGTAAGAATCCAACTCAAAAAACAAAGTAAAAATAAAAAATAAAAAAAACACGTATTTTGATTTAGGGTGGGAAGACGAACTTAGAGCCTGAGTAGACTCTAGGATGGTGAGAGCAGGAACTGGGATATGCATAATAAGGACATTCAGAAGCCTTTTAAGAATTGGCTTCTGGAATCTCTGACTATAGTACAGTTGCAATCTCTACTCATGTCTCTTAAAGATATGCTACCTAGAATTAGTAAAAACTACAACCACCCTCAATACCTTAATGTAGTTATTATAATGTGTAAAACTTTTGCTTTTGGGTAAAAGATAATTTAAAATTTTGTTTTTCATTGGAGAACTTTTTTTTTTTTTTGCCTAGATTTTTGAGTTAACCTTCAGCCCTTAAGTAGGGATCTAAAATCACCCTTAGTCTATTCCTGGTAAGCAAATGCAATAGGCCAAGGACATCTGACTGACTTGCATCCCCGTGTACTGTATGCCCATCCCTTAAACATTTTTCTTTAGATAAGGCCTCTGTCTTGGTATTTTCCTTCATCTCTCCAGTCATTTCCTTTCTAAACTAAGAAGAGGAACATGGAAAATAAGAGGGGAAAAGGAAGAAAATGAAAATAGAGATCTCCGGCTAGTTGGAAGGAGCCATGTCCATGGAACAGAGGGAGGCTGTTCCTTCACGCTCCCTGGCCCTCCTGGTGGCTAAGAGCAGGGAAGTGGTTCAGGCTGTGTAGTTGCTGTTGTCCTCTGGGCATATCCTTCTGAGATGTCACTTTGATACAGACGGAAGAAATTTTGAATGTAGCCAAGTGGACTGTCCTTCCCCCAAGCCTGGCAGAATGCATCCAGCTTGCTTTTTCTGACTTGCTTTTCTTGTCCGAGTAAAATGAAGTGAATTTAGAAAAGATGTGCATTTAGTGTGGGAACCACCATTTGCTTATTTGTTGCTTATAGGATCTGAAGTGGAGCAGATACTTTCCTTTTTACAAAACTTCTTGAGGACTGTAGCCACTGCACTGGGCGTTCCCTTGTGGAGAGTCACAGTTGGCTGGCCCACTAGAGCACACTTGCCCCCTGGCACTGTGTCCTAAGTACTGGACAAGAGAGGAGCAGGAGAGCCTGACCCCACACAGCTAGCTCTCTTGCCTTCCCCCTTTCCCTACATGAAGCCTTTTAAAATTCAGCAGGGGACCTCCTGATGGCAGCTAGTTCTACAGAGTGGCCTGAATGAATTGTCTTTTCTCTTACTATAAATGCTCATTGCAGAGCAGGGCAATTCTTCATTAGCATAGTAATTTGTTGGCAATTTGTTGGTTTTCTATTGAAAAGTATGCTAAATTGTAATCTTAGGCCAATTACTATCCTGGCTTCTCCTGTATGCCTCCCCAACCCTGTCTCCCAAATCAGTCTCAAAAATACATCTGAGAGCTCCGTCCTGGCTACCGCACAGCAGGGGAAAGCCCTCCTGTGGGACCCTGGTTTAACTGGCGTGCCATGATGTGTGGCTCAGTGGCTGACTCCTGCATTGAATAGCACAGTTCTGATGCTGCTTGGAATTCTTCACAAGCCTATTCGATGGTGCCCTGTTAGATTTCTAGTGCAGCTGTGTTCTGACTCTCCTGGAAGGGGGGTGATAATACCTGTGATCCTTAGATATTCTGGTCCATTCTTAACATGTTTACAATTAGTTTTTTAGCTAATTAACATAATATATGCTTTGTTGATTAAAATGTTATAAAATCCTTCCCTTTTCCTCCATTCCACAGAAATAACACTGTGGGATCCTTCTAGAAACTTTCTACAGTCTTTCTGTGTTAGTAAATTACTTTTGATGACTTAACACATCCATCTGTTATCCTGCATTCTGGAGGTGGAAGTCCAGAGTGATCCCCGGGGCACATTTTTCTCAGCAACCTCTAGGGCACATTTCCTTACCTTTCCCAGTTTCTAGAGGCTCCTGCATTCCTGTGCCCTGGGCCCTTTCATCCCTCTTCAAAGCCAACCAAATTGCTCTGACTGCTCTTGTGTTAGAGAAATTTTTCTACAGAGAAATGCAGAAATCCAGTTTAAATATAGTTAAGTCTCTCCCCCAGCCCTAACACATGAGAAAGGTAATACAGTGAACCATGTAACTCAGAACAGCTGGCTCCAGGGCTTCAGAGTACTGTCTGGGCTTGGACCCTGCTGGTTTCTCCTTGACTTCATGAGGTTGTTCAGGCTTCTTTTCCTCACGGCGACAACCCCAGGGGAAAGAACAGGCTGTTCCCGCACCAGGTCAGGATGAGGAGTCACAGCATTTCAGTAACTGACCAAGGACTGGCTCACATGCCCAGCCTGGGAGGGAGATGGGGTCAGCTCACTCCAAAACTTGAGGGTTCCCTGTAGAAAAGAAGGCGTGATCAGAAGGGAGATCGGACATGGGAGAGGTGCACAATGGACAGGCATACACACTGCTCTCTCACTGTCATGGGGCTTCTGTTTGGCTTTTACGCAGATGAATCACGCTGTCCATCTTATTCCACATTTTCTTCTTCCCACTCCACAGTGAGTCCTGGATATCCTTCCTTGTCAGCATATCTAACAATCCAGGTTCTTTTCCATAACTCTTTGGAGCCCTTTGGTTGGGGTCAGCAAGAAATATTATCTTTAGAGGGTTGAACACAGCAAATCCCTTCACCACAGATATTTTGCAGCATGATATTCGTATAAGAAAAAGCTCTCACTGTCAATCAGTAGTCCATCTATTTTTAAAGTAAGAGTCTGTAAAAAAGTATTCAAGTCAATCAAAATATTTGGACAGCCACCTTGGGGAACAGGTATTGTATTTTACAAAAGAGCAGACATAGTAATTTTCCCCCTTGTCATTCTCCCAATTTGTATTTTTTATACATTACGCACATGTGTGGTATTTTTAGCATGAATTTATTTTCCTGTGATAAATATGGAAGGGAATTAAGGATTATAGACAAAAAGAGTATGATCCCCATAAGGAAACTTTTTGTCAAAAAGACCTCAAATTGTAATTGTGTTTTGTGGCAAGAGCCTGCAGGTTGAAAGCAGAGGAAATAAACCAGGGCAGAAAATGACTCTGGCACTAGCCTAGTCTAGTTTCAGAGATGCTGAATTAAATGTGTGCTATGAGGCCCCATCTCATCCCAAGGCTGGTTCTGATAGAGAGAGGGAGAGGGATTTTCACTTACCCAGGAGAGGATTTGGTGAATCAGATCACAGAGCATCCTGGAGCTTGGAGTTCCCCCACTCTCCGCTTTATCTAAATCCATTTTACAACACACTCAATCATTCCCAAAGCCACACTTTAGTGTACGTTAAACCTTTTATGTTTTACCCATGCAATATCTCTCCAGAGACTCTAAATTGGCGTCCAGCGTTTTTTTTTTTTTGAGTTGGAGTCTCACTCTGTCGCCCAGACTGGAGTGCAGTGGCCGCTCCCGGCCACCACAGCCTCGACCTGCTGGGCTCCAGCGATCCTTCCGCCTCAGCCTTACAAGCAGCCGGAATTACAGGCGCGCGCTACCATGCCCGGCTAATTTTTTGATTTATTGTAGAGATGAGGTCTCGCCTGCCCAGGTGGGTCTCAAACCCACGGGCTCAGGCAATCCACTCACCTCAGCCTCCCAAAGGCGTGGGATTACAGGCTGAGCCACCAAGCCCGGTGGTATCCAGCCTTTTAAAATAATTTTAAATTTCTCTCTTTCTCATTCATTTTCCAAAATGGCACAAATTTCATGAAAAAGCCTCACATTCAGCCAGCTATATATCAGTTCTTTGTGAATAAAGATGAATAAGATAGTGTGACATCTCTGCTTTTAAAGAAGAACTAAATCAATAGTAACTTCAAAGTAAATTAATAAAACATTTTGCAAATAGAATTTTTCCCCCTACAATTTCACCTTAATTGTTTTGAGGAGATCCGAGAAGAGGAGTAGAAAACAGACAAGCTTAAGGTCATTTTAGCCAAGACTGTAGTATCAACATGATTGTGAAATTTTACAATTAAATTGTACACATCTTTATCCCATATTGTTTTTCCAGGAAAGAATTTAAGTGGCTTATAGAGTAAAATGAATGAAGATAAAATTGACCCCAGGAATAGAGTCAGAACTCTGCCATCGGCCTGGCCTATAGCTGATGAGGCAGTCACATTAGTCTCTCAGCTTAGTGGCCAGAGCGTAAAGGGAACTCATTGATTGATTGACTCATCAACATGTATTTATTTTGTACTAAAAACAAGTTAAAAGTTTATACACGGCAAAAGCAAAACAGTTGTTCCAGGTGAAACACAGTTTTACCTGGAAAAAGTGTTTCTTGTGGATTTTCAGAAAAGAGAGTTGGTAAATGTGGCAGTTCGAGTTCTCTGGGCAGCCCCTAAGCCAGTGAAGTTGCTTGCTGCGGCACCGAGTGTTGCGTGCTGTTCTGTCAAGACCCTCATGTGGCTCGTGTTACGCCACAGTGTTTCAATCAAAGGTGATGCCACATGGAATAATAACAGCATAACTCCATCCAGGAATACAATCTGGAATGTTTGGAGGAGGCTGCAGACCCCCATGCACAGTGACTTCTCCAGGTAGCCAGTCTTGGCACTTAGAGAAAAAGAGGTGGGATCACAGATCAACCATTTGTTTGGTCTGCAATTCTTTTTAATGAATATGACAGTTCTGGGTTGGTTTGTTAGTTTTTCTCTGTTCACCTTAGAACTTTGGATTAAATAAACCTAAGAACAGAATGGACAAGGTAGGACTGTTTTCCCCTGCATGGCGGGTGTCAGGCTCACCAACACTGGCAAGAGCAGGAAAAACAGAAACCATGGCTGGTGCTTCAAGAGTGGGTCTCCGATTAACAACCAAGCACTTAGACCGATGAATTTACAATAATCAGCAAGCTGAAAAATCTACCACAGTGGCAAATCTCCGTGTAAATGATCAGCTCAGTAGTATTTCTTTTCAATTAACTTTTCATAAATGCCTCCTTTGGTGCCAGGTGCTCTGCTAGGGAGTTTTGAAATGCGTCAGAGTTGGTGTTAGTCATTGGTTTTCTGAAAATATTGTTATGGTTTTTTGGCTTGAATTGGAGCCTGTGCCTAGTAGGCTTTCAGTTAGCAATTAGAATTAGAAAGAAATTTTTGCTCTTGGATCCTTAACAGTGTAGATGAGGCCCTGCTTGCCAAGGTCAGAGAGGGACCTCTGAAAATCTCCCCTAGTAACTCCTTTTATTCCAGAAGCTATCATTTCCTGCTGAGCTGCTTTGGGTGAATCACCCTGCTGCTGGGGTTATTGTGTCTAATTAGGGCTCTTAAAAGCATAGAGCAAAGAAGTGGAGAGCAAAGCACTCCCAAATTTAGGGAAATGGTAGTTTTTTCCCAGCTTACTTATAACCCTCTGTTATAAGTAGGACCTGGAATGCTAATTGCTTGCCATTTCCACCATAATGTAAGTGATGATTAAATTCACCACGCCTTTAAAAAAGGAATGATGTTCCCGATTCACAAGTGCTTAAGTAATTCTCAACCTAGTAACATAAGATGATAATTTCAGTTCTGTCAAGGTAACCTAGAATCCTTGCTGTGTAATGGAAGTCTTTATTGCTGTTCTTAGGGAAAGAGATCAGTGTCAAATGGGTCACTTTCTACTGACAGAACCTTTGACACAGTAGAGAGATGTTGATAAGTGGCTCTGCTTTTGTGCCTTTGTCCATGTCCTAAGGATCAGTAAATCCTGAAGAGAAGTGGGCTTGAGGAGGAAACACGTGTATCATGTCCTTATAATGACTCAAGTGCCTTCAGTTTTGTTTTATTTCTGTGTTTGCCACACAGTAACTTTGTTTTGCTCAAAGTTAATTTGTTAAGCCAAGAATGATGAATGTGAGCTTGTTAAACCTCTTATCATGTTAGGGAGCAGAAACTGGTTTATATTACTTTTATGGATGGGTTTTTTTGTAAGACTATTCAAGGAAGTTAGGAAGACAGGAAATAGTCACAACTGCTACACAGCCAGACTGCAGAGATCGGGAATGACATTCAGGATATTACAGAAGTTCAAACAGCATCAGTTGTCTGTTTTTAATCACCATTTCATCCCCGCACCTACACTTGCCATACAGTAAGTTCTCAAGTATTAACTCGGTGAGTGAATTCCCAATACTTTCCAATATCTGTCTGCTCTCTTTCTCCTATATTCCCAGCTAACAATTAATCTATAACATCTTTCTGTTTACTTCATGGCTTCTACTTATTTACTTCTCTCTGTATATCTTTCCTTTCTCATGCCATCACATCATGGACAGATAGATTGCATATATCTCATTCAGATGCTCAGAGAGAAATTGTGATAAGATAGACTGGTCACTCTCCATGGTGAAACACTGTCTCACAATAAAACAATTAGGCTTTTGTGGTAGCCTGGTCCAGTTATTTGTGGTCAGCTAGCAAGGTCACAGGAGATGAAGGGTGGTCTTGCTCCTGAGAGGAAAGTAATTATGGCAGACACATAAAATATGTTCCCATAATAATAAATTCATCTGACTGGCATTTAGTTATGTTCTAGGCCAGATTCTAAGACATGGGAGAACACCCTATCAGGTTAGGTCACTGTCAAATTCCTAGAACTGGCACAGAACTTGATATACAGCAGGCACTGGAAAAATACTGGCTGAACGAAGGCTGATTAAGAGGAAATTCTATGATCTTAGATGCATCAGGGACACGGTGAAAAAGGTTGACGGGTGAGGCAAATGTACTTGAACAACTTTTATAATTTAATCATTGGAGTTAAAACCCATAAGGCTTCTCCAGTCAGTACCTGAGCTTACCTGCTCCTTCATGATGATGTGAAGCAACCACCACCCAACCATCTTAATGACCTTCACCCATCAAAGGGAAGATTTAAAAAGATTCAGCCGGGGGTAGCTATTTGTCATTGTTTTACTAGACTCTGGTGTAGCCATGTGCTTTGAGCTGTGGCTACTGCCATGTTTCCTAAGCTTTGGCCCCCTCTCCTACCTTGGGGAGGTGAATCAATCTCTCTCTCTCCCTCTCTAATTTACTTTCTAAATAAACGATATTTTCTAATCTAACTTCTGTGCAATTCTTTGTATCTTTCACGCAGCACTAGTTTGCATACCAGACTTCCACACCCCCAGCAGGTCTGACCTAGTCTTCTGGAGGCCCCACTGGGAGTGTGACCAACACATTTCATGTTCCTTTAATCTACGAACTGACCACAGGCAAACTTACAGATATTATTTTTTCTATCCAGAGGTAGAGAAGAACATCTCAATCTATAAATTCAAGATTTTTTTCTGCTAAATCATGTCTGAAATTTACTGAGGCATTTCTAGGGAGGTAGTCCATAGATTATACACAGAAAAAGCAGATTATCTCTTCACAGTGGAATTTCTGGTGATACTGCCTTTTTAAAAATTTTATAACCATGGCCAATGAAAAAAATACTGCTGAACTGAACTGATGACTAAGAGACATTGATACATTCTCTGATTTTTCTTTTGTGGTTAATGTAGGCGAGACAGGCATTGGCAAATCCACGTTAATGGACACTTTGTTCAACACCAAGTTTGAAAGTGACCCAGCTACTCACAATGAACCAGGTGTCCGATTAAAAGCCAGAAGTTACGAGCTCCAGGAAAGCAATGTGCGGCTGAAGTTAACCATCGTTGACACTGTGGGATTTGGAGACCAGATAAATAAAGATGACAGGTACATCTTGGGATTTTGTGGGGATGTGAATGGATGAGGAGATTTCAGGTAAATTTAAAGGCTACATGTTTTTGGTGTTCACTAGTTGTGGGGCTTGGTCCTCTTTTTCCTAAATGACATGACATTCTTGTCCTCTTAGAAATTTTCTGAAAATGTTTTTCCTTGAGGTCAGAATCAGATGACAAAATTGATCCTACCTGGTATGAGCAGAAAAGGGCTTTGTTAGAGGGAATACATTAGCATATGACATTTTTCCAGAAAAGTCATGAAGCCAGGTCTGGGGTCTTTTCCTCCAGGAAAAGCCATGTAGAGAAATACCCAGCCACCCAACAAAACCCCTGCCATCAGCCATCTCATGCTGCTTGGTACCCAGGACACTGGGAGGAAGTCTTTGCCCCTGATAACTCTGCCCCTGCTGTCCTTGTGTGTGGCTTCTGCCTTTACTGCTCGCTCCCTGCCTCCAGGTCTGGTGTGGCTGTATCTGCTTGGCAGAAATGAAACCACATCCAGAATACTAGCTGCAAGAGAGTCTGGGAAATGTGGTTTTCAGTTTTTTTCAACTGTAAAATAAAAAGGCACTAAAAAGTGAAAGTTTGGAATGAACATCTGCCACGCTCTCCTAGTCCCTGGGGCAGATTGGGACTTGTGGCTTAATCCCCAACAGACTTGAATGAAAATAAGCATTAGTGTGATTTTGCACAGGAAGCTATAGCCTAGAGTTTGAAAGATGTTGTAGTTTGCATTTTGTCAGTGACAAGCCATGTGACCTTGGTGTGGTGTATTTGAGGAAATTACTGAGGGATTCTCTGAGGTCTCTTTAAGTATGATATTTTACATAGTCCTACTCTTATGTGGAAGCCTATGGAAGGACATTGTGAAAGATCAGGCCTGGAAGAGGGGTGTGGTTATAATAAGGGTTACCCTGTATTTTGATGGCTGTTGGCAAAAATGATATTAGCTCCTAAAACACAGTACAGAAAGCATTTTTATGAATGGTCTGATTAATTTCCAGTCAGCACAGGATCTTAACATTGAAGGTGGTGGTGTGGTGTGAGGCATTCATGACTCCTTTTGTGAGTACCTGGGTCTCCCTGAAGATTGCACAAAGTTAGGCAGCACTTGGGGTGTAGAATCACCAAATTGAGTCTGAATAATGACTGGGATATCATCATGCCTGATGAGGGGTTCAGATCAGTTAGATGGATTAAAGTTTCCCCTCTCTTTACAGAGAGGAAGTATTAAACTCATTAGATAATATATATGACAGAATTCAGTGTACATGTAGAGAAAAGACATGTTTAACCTACATGAGGAATAAAATATATTTTAAGAATTTTGTCCAGTGGTATATGTACACAAGCGGAGGCTACTAGCTACCAGTCAGTCCTGATTTATTTGTTCATTAAAGTAGGTTCACATAAACTTGAAGATATAATTATGAAACAGTGCAGTGAGTGTTCATAATGTGTCCCATTTTCAAAGCCAAGTGAGCTTGGGTCTTCACTGTGAGTTTCTGTTTACCCTTGTTTGAGGGTTGCTGCTAATCCTTCAAACTTCCTGGCATACAACCTACATATTTGTCTCAGTCCCAGGATTGTTCATATTTCTTCTCAAGATCACCCATCCTATTCATCAGTCTCAACGTCAAATGCCTAATGATTATTTTAAACATTATGTTCATCCTTAAGAAGTTTGAGAAAATTAAAATAAAGCTATCCCAGGCCCAAAGATGATTCTAGAATGGGGCTTCCAGACACAGTTTTAAGCAGTGATAGCATCACGGGCGTAAGCATCTAGCCTCTTAGCATGACCAGTATGTAGCTATGAACGCCATATCACTAAGTTAGGGTATGCTTGCTTAGGGCTTCGGGAACATAATTAGTATTAGGACTTTTTTCCTTATTTTTTCTCAAAAATGTGTGTGTTATATACATGTGTTTTGGCTTTTTGCTTTGTTGTTTTTTAAAGCAGGATTTATTGAGAAGACAGAAAAGCTCCCACAGTGGGAGGGGACCTAAGGGAGTTGCCCTATACATGTGTCTTGTAATGAGAAACATGAGTCTTTCTGTCAGAAATGTGTGTCGCCTGGATATATTTTAACCATTTCTGATATGAATATGAGCACCACAGTCATGACCATTAGAAACTGAATGCACCCCGCTGCTGTGCACAAAGCTGGTTGTCCACAGAGTACTTGAAATGCTCCTCAGCAGATGCTGTCTGTGGAAACTGGAGCAACTGTTAGACATAGCGAAAAAGATTTTATTTTGCTTCTGGTCCAAGAGGACCGCCTGCACATTGTGTTGGGGCAGGGACTGTGCACAGCCCTGACCCTGCAGCTGAGCATCTGCTCCTAATGTGATGGTGAGGCGGAATGGTGAGGCTGCTGCCTGAAGGTTGTTTGTAAGGCTAAAGTAGATGAAGAGGAGACCCTGGCAATGAGAAGAGGGCACCGGTGCATTGTGGGAGCTAGGGAGAGAGCCAGGATCTTCTGGTCAGTCACTGGGCAGTCACAAAACACACTCAGAGCAGCGCCTGCTCACCACCTCTTAGTCCCGAATAGACTTCTCCCTGGGTTTGTCTTGTGTCTTGCTTGGGCATTCCCTGACTGGAAGACAGCAACTGAACTTTTCCAGGATGCCTTCCCATAGGAGTGAGACCCATCCTCCCTCTAGCGTCTTGCTGCTGAGAGTCCATGCATGCATCTAGCTCGGAGTCGTTGCCTCAGCGCTGCCGCTCAGTTCTTGCGTCTCCCCTAAGCTGGGACTTTCCCTCCACTGGGTGGGCTTTCCCTCACCAGCAACGAGTAGCAAATAGCTAGTACAAGGCACATCCTCATATTTGCAGCTGGAGCCCTCTTTAAGAAATTATCTGACTCATTTGGGTCAAATAATAGTTTCCAAGGAGATTTAGAAGAGAGGAAGTGTGATATTAACCTAACCTAGATACCAAATATTTTTTTTCCTTTGAAATTTCTTGTCAGCTATTGCATAACCTCTTTAAATGGCACTTAAACCTCAACATTAGCCTTTACCTCAGAAGGCATTGTTGACACTGTTGACCATAAACCCGAATGACTTATTTAAAAATAGTTATTCCATCAAAAAGTTGGAATTGGGACATGCATGTTTGCATCAGTTTGTAACCACATAGGAAGGGATGTGCTGTGCTCCAAACCGACGATGATTTCCACTTACTTTGGGGATTAGATGAGCTTTTCTGTCATAGATGCAAGACTTCAAGAATGTCCTAGTTTGTTTATGTAGGCTTTGAACATGTCAGCATTCCTGCGTTATTATCTGCCTCAGACCAGAACCAAGCTAGCAAGAAGGAGGCAGGAAGAGAGATCTGGTGAGGTTTCCTGTTGTGTTTAATACACATTTAACTCTTTGTTGTTTAAGGGCTTCCTTGTTTTGGCTGTCTGCACATTTCAATGGGGAAAGAAAGGGGTCTGGAGAAGAAGGAAAGCCAAGTTTTGTCATCCAGCTGGAACTAGAATAACTCCTTTGCCCCAGGCTTGGAAGATGGGAGGTGGGCTGTCCAGTGCCTATCACTCACTGTAATGATAACCAGCCCTGAAAGGCAGAAAGCGTTGAAATCACTGAAAGAATCCATAGGCTCACCAAATCTTTATCAGAGTTACAAAATAGTAGTTTGTAATTTTCTTTTTTTAAACAGGGTCTCACTCTGTCACCCAGGCTGGAGTGCAGTAGTGTAATCATGGTTCACTTTAGCTTCAAACTCCTGGGCTCAAGTGATCTCCTGCCTTATCCTCCTGAGTATCTAGAACTATAGGTATGTGCCACCATATATGGCTAATTTTTAAATTTTTCTTTTCTTTTTTTTGAGTTGGAGTCTCACTCTGTCGCCCAGACTGGAGTGTAGTGGCCGCTCCTGGCCACCGCAGCCTCGACCTGCTGGGCTCCAGTGATTAAATTTTTCTATAGAGATGGGGTCTTGCTGTGTTGCCAGGCTGGTCTTCAACTCATGTGATCCTCCCACCTTGGTCTCCCAAAGTGCAAGGATTACAGGTATAAGCCACTGTGCCCAGTCCTGGACTTTAAATTCTAAGTTTTTCATCATACTTCCTGGTGGAAGTAGTTGGGGGAATAAGGAAAATCATCTTTGGCTAACAGATAGCAAGATAAGAGAAAAGCATATGGTAAGTGTTTGGTCGTATACAAAATGGAGAGCCAGTCCCTAAATGATGGCATTGGCCAATGTGCAAGGATGATCAGTGCGTAGGTTGGATGGAAACCATTATATACCATATCTTTTCATGCGTTTTAGGGTCAACATCTGCCATTTTATTGCATTTTTAAATAACCAGAGGTATATGAAACAGTAAGCAGTTTATGATGAGGAACATCCCCATTTCCTTTTTTTTTTTGAGTTGGAGTCTCACTCTGTCACCTAGACTGGAGTGCAGTGGCCACTCCCGGCCACTGCAGCCTCGACCTGCTGGGCTCTGGCGATCCTTCCGCCTCAGCCTTCCGAGTAGCTGGAACTACAGGCGCGCGCTGTCACGCCCGGCTGATTTTTTTTTAAATTATTTATTGTAGAGATGAGGTCTCGCCAAGTTGCCCAGGCGGGTCTTGAACCTGTGGGCTCAGGCAATCCACTCACCTCAGCCTCCTAAAGGCGCGGGATTACGGGCTGAGCCACCGAGCCCAGCTATTCCCATTTCTTTTATTTATTTATTTATTTATTTATTTATTTATTTATTTATTTATTGAGTTGGAGTCTCACTCTGTCGCCCAGACTGGAGTGCAGTGGCCGCTCCCGGCCACTGCAGCCTCGACCTGCTGGGCTCCAGCGATCCTTCCACCTCAGCCTTCCAAGTAGCCAGAACTACAGGCGCGTGCTACCACGCCCGGCTGCTTTTTGATTTATTGTAGAGATGAAGTCTCGCTGCCCAGGCGGGTTCGAACCCGCGGGCTCAGGCAATCCACTCACCTCTGCCTCCCAAAGGCGCGGGATTACAGGCTGAGCCACCGAGCCCGGCTATCCTCATTTCTTAAAAGGAAATGCCGTGAACATGTGAGGAGTAGATCTGATTTTTCCTCTCTCCTTGCTCTTGCTATAGCCCAGGGAAGTTTGAATTGACCCAACAGAATAGAAACAGGTATCCTTCTATAGGAATGGAAACTAGCAAAAGTCAAAGTTGAGATTAAGCCCTTTTGTCTTTCTGACTGTTCGTGTAAAGAAGTGGAAAGGATTTGGAGGAAGGGGCTGGTAATTGCTTAAGGAGTCATGACTAGTACAAGACCACTTGGCTGGCTTGATTCTCATCAAGAGGAAACTTTCATCAGCATAATTAAATCTTTGGCATAGAGTATAGTGGTTTTGGTGAATTGATCTCCAGGAATACATTTCTTTTTGTTTGTTTGTAATGGGATAGAAGGTGAAATAGATGCACTTCATGCTTGGGTTGTGTGTGTGAGGCCAGATAGGAGACTCCAGGTTGAACTCGAGGTTTCTTCCATCACCAGTGGTGTGGGTGGGGCCCCAGTCACCACGCTAAGGAATGTGAGGAGGTGTGTGGGCTTTGGGGCAGGATGAAGAGTCAGTTTTGGACAAAGTGAGTTAGAAGAGCAATTGGGAATTGATGAGCAGCTGGGCGCATGGGTCTGACACTCAGGGGAAGGTTCTGGGGCAGAGATTTGTGACTTGTCATCTGGTGATAATGAGTGGAACATAGGAATGAGTATGGTTTTCCAGGGAGACCACACAGAGTGAAAAAGAGAGAGATGGAAAAATTGGCCAGGACCCTCAAGCAGAAGCAGGCAGGAGACATGAGAGGAGAACAGAAGTCTTGGACCCAGCATGGAAAGCATTCTTCACTTCTAAGGAGAGATGTTATGCCTACCATAATCCCTGGTGGATCAGAATCTAAACCAGTGACAAGAAGGGAAATGAATAGAAAGTATGTGGACTACTGTTGAGAGGAAGAGGTTCAGAGCTAAAACTCAGACAAGGGGATGGCAGGCAGGAGCAATTGCTCCTTTTCCTCCCCTTGAGCTGCTTTTCCTCCCCTTGAGGCTCAGGGTTCTAGGGAAGGACCCTAACCCCCAAACACTTATCTCAGTGTCAGGAGACTGAAGGCCTCACCCTAGATTGGAAAGGTGTAGGTGGACCTCACTGGAGTGGCTGGTCTATTTCCCCAGGGCATGAGCTCAGTAGCAGAACAGGGAACTGAGTGAGCGTAAAGTTCCTTTCCTTTTTTTAATATATATATATTTTTTTTGTCTTTTAAAAAAGTCAGGCTTACTCTTTGAGAAATAAAACATCATCCACATACCATATTTTTTCCTATGTCCAAAAGAAATATTTTTCTCAAAACAATCACCTGATTCTTTCCAACTTTGTTGCTTGTTCTTACATAGCTCTATCTTTTAAATTCATGGGTTTTGTGAAGATTTCTGGTTCTTTTAAGTAAATGAAACTTCTGGCTATCCTTTGTGCTTCTTAGACATTGGCTTTTGTTCAAGTTGTAGCTCTGCTCTCTCCATTGTTTTTGGTAAGAAACTGACTATTCCTACCTGACCCAGTGGGGCCTTTAGGGTAGAGTGGACAGAATTTGACATAAACTGTTAAATCTAAGTTATCTGTTTAAATGAAAAATGGGGCTGGGCTTGGTGACTCAAGCATGTAATCCCAGCATTTTGGGAGTCCAAGTTGAGGGGATTGCCTGAGCCCACGGGTTCGAGAATAGCCTGGGCAACTTGGTGAGACCTCATCTCTATGATAAATAAAAAAATTAGCTGGGCGTGGTAGCACACGCTTGTAGTTCTGGCTACTTGGTAGGCCAAGGTAGAAGGATCGCCTGAGCCCAGCAGGTCGATGCTGGGTTGGCTGGAAGCGTGCCACTGTACTCCAGCCTGGGCAATGGAGTGAGACTCCAACTCAAAAACAAAAAAAGAGAGAGAGAGAGAGAAAACTAAAATAAATAAATAAGTCAGGCTTGCTCTTCTTATATGTATAATATTTGTTGTTTATTAATATTATGATGAAATAGTTATCTTGTACATGTATCGGCTCATTTGTTTATCACTAGCTCTCTGATGGACATACTGTTTTTGACCCTGGTTTGCCTATGAGGAAATTGAGACACAGAGGTACAGTGCTTTGCACATCGCCACACATCTAGAGAGCTGTGCAGCTGCACGACAGTCCTAGGCAGTCTAGCTGAAATCCATGTTTCTAACCACCATCATCCATTACTATTTCATAATGATGATTACTAATATTGTTTTTATGTAATACATGCCTGTATTTTAAAATAGAAAATGTAGAAGAATCATCACTTGCTCATCCTTTTTATTGAAATTTTACCTGTCATGATTTGGAGCTTTACTATTGCTGAGATACATTCTGTTTTTTTTTTTTTTTTTAGTCCACTAGAGGTTTTATCTACTCAAAGTGAACCAATGGCTAGTTACAGTGGCTCACACCTAGTACTTTGGGAGACTGAGGCAGAAGGACTGCTTGAGCCCAGGAGTTTGAGACTAGCCTGGGCAGCATAGCAAGACCTTGTCTTTGCAAAACTACCCAAAATTAGCCAGGCATGGTGGTATGTGCTTGTAGTCCCAGCTACTTAAGAGGCTGAGATGGAAGGGTTACCTGAGCCTAGAGGTAGAACTGTGATGGTGCCACTACCCTCCAGCCTCGAAAAAATAAGGGAAGGGAGGGGGGAGGGCAATGGATTGTGATCAAATCACCAAAGGAAAATAGCATCTATAACTGTTTTTTGTTGTTGTTTATTCTTGGGGTTTTCATTTGTTTGCTTTTCTCAGGAGGTCTGCTGTTTTCCTTATTACACGAGATTTGTAGTTCCTTTTCAAGGCTTTCAGTTTAATTGATGGGTCTGGGATTTGGGTATTATGAGGTTTTTTTTTTCTTACAACTTGAATTATGCCTCAAAAAGCTAGTATGTTTTGAGAGAATTAACCCTTTGTATTCCTATTAGACTAGTCTCTTTGTTGCTATAACTTCTGAATAGTCCCCCTTGAAGGCCAGAAGACTTCATGGGTTTCCTGCAGTTATCGAACATGCTATTCACTCCCTGGTGAATGTGTGGCTTATGGAATGTGTATTCCCAGTATACTGCTAGCGATTATTGTGTTAACAGAATCACATATGATTATTCAAAACAGATTTGAATGATTTCGTGGGGAGAAGAGAGTTACCAAGTTTATCTTAAATCATGCAGCTTTCGAGTTGGATGGAATCTTGACGATCATGATAGTGCAGGCGCCTCCGTATCAGATGAAGTGATGATGTGCACAGGGCTTGTGGGAACACAGAGAGCCCTCATCTCTGAAGGAATGGGGCAGAGGCCAGGAGACAGCTCCCAGCAGGTGGGGATGCCGCATCCCGAAGCCACAAACCCTTTTCATTTTGTGCACCAATGCCAGTCAGTTGGAAGAAACTGTCAAAAGCGCTTTATTGAGATGGCTCTTGAGGCTCAGTTTTGCCCCAGCGGAAAAGAATGCCACAATCTTAGCGACATCTTCCATGGATGCCCTGGGGGAAGTGGCAACGCGCTCCACATGTTTATAGTTTCTTATTGGAAAGATGAGTGTTCGCCAGGTGGATCATGGGAAGAAGGCAATTCTCAGTAGAGGGACCGGCATGAACAAAGACACAGAGGCAGACAAGGATTTAGCATGCGGGGGCCACTGCGAGTGGTTGAGTGTTGCTGGGACACGAGGATGAGCCAGGGAGGCAGTGGGAGGGGTGAATGTGGAGCCTTGTTCAGGGACCAGGTGATGGACAGTCTGGGACGCCAAGATAGGGACTTGGGTTTTAGCACTTAGGAAAGAGGAAACCGTTGATGACGCTCAGTGGAACACTGGCTGTGCTGAAGTATGAAAGAGGTTTGAGGCTAGAAACATGATGATTTGAAAATGTTTCTGCATTCTAGCTATAAGCCAATAGTGGAATACATTGATGCCCAGTTTGAGGCCTACCTGCAGGAAGAATTGAAGATTAAACGTTCTCTCTTCAATTACCACGACACGAGGATCCATGCCTGTCTCTACTTTATCGCCCCTACTGGACATTCTCTGAAGTCCCTGGATCTGGTCACCATGAAAAAGCTGGACAGTAAGGTACGTGCTGCTACTCTGATTGCCAGCTATTCTCCTTTTAGATGGCCTTTATCCTAAGGCCCGGTTTATTCTCTGCTTTCAGTTATTTGTTTTTTCTGGATCACAGAACCTAGGGCTTGGCAATGTGAGAGAAATGCCTCAAAACCTCTTTCTAGTTAGGTAAGAACAAAACTAGCAAACTGATAAACCACGTGGCTTGCCAGAAAGTGCTTTTAGTTCTTATATGGGAGATAGAAATATAAGTTCAAAGTTTATCTTTTTAAAAAAACTTTCTCTAAATCTCTCTAAAGAGTGTTTAGAGATTTGGCTTTAATTTGAAGTTTAGAAGGATAAAAGGGTTAATATTTTGTCTGTGTGTTGAAGATGGTCCAGGATCTTAGATTTTAAAACCAAAACTGCACACGTGTGTTTAAAAAATTAAACCACTTCATTTGTGTCAGTTTGTTTCCTGAGCTCACCACACTTATAACCTTTTTCACAACATTTGAAGGAAGGAACTGATACATTTGATAAAATATGGTGCCCTACTTTATAATGAATTTGAATTCCTTTGCCAGGCACAGGGTAGCTCACACCTGTAATCCAGCAGGGGAGGAGGATTACTTGAGCCCAGGAGTTCTAGACCAACCAAGGCAATATAATGAGACCTCATTCCTACAAAAAAATAAAAAATTACCCAGGTGTGGTGGTGTGTGCCTATAGTCCCAGGTACTCGGGATGTGAGGTGAGGAAGAAGGATCACCTAAGCCCAGGAGATGGAGGCTGCAGTGAGCTGTGATTGTGCCACTGCACTCCAGTCTGGGCAACAGAGTGAGATCCTTACTCAATAAAATAAAATAAAATAATTTGATTTTCCATTTTGAAATAAATAGAAGACAGCACGTTTTGAAATAAAGATGAATGACAGTAAAAACAACTGCAAAACTAAGCCATGTGTGGCATTTTCTCTTAGATTCTTTTGCATTCACTGAAAGGTCTTATCAGATGATAAAGCCCTTTAGAGGGGTTTGTTGGATGTTATTTTGTGATTATTATTATTGATCGAAACAATATTGTCTGGAAGGCAGTTTCTCTCCAGAGGGATGAAGGAGTGAGAGAATGCTCTGATCACCTTCCCTCAGGACCTGGGTCTGAACTGGCCCATTCAGGGCTAGAGGCTAATGTAACACCAAACCAGGCTCCCTGGACTTCCAGCACTTCCAGATAGCATGGTTTACAGTGTTCTGATGGCCTGAAAGACTTCCTGCAGGTAGAGCATGCTTGGGAGAATGAGTGGAAACATCCTCATCTCATCTGATCCTGCCTCACTTTGGCCACTGGGAGTTGTGCCGTCAGCCACGATATAGAGGAGTCACGCAGGCAGTGAGGCTGCTCCTGGGTCTGTCGTGTCCCTGGAAACAGGGGCAGGTCTCCCTCTTCTTGGAAGTGTGCTGTTCTCTGCAGGAAGTAGAGTGAGGTGGCTTCCTAACCAAGGGCCAAGTGTGGAGATTCAGCCAGGATAGTATCCACTAATATGATTGTGTTTAGTAGAGTTGATTTAAAAAGGAAAAGAAAAAAAGGTAAAACAAACACAACTGATAAAAGCAGACCAACAACACAAAACCAGTCAAACTTTCAAAGACCTGATCTTGTTGTAGAGGTGGGCAGCTAGGGAGCATCTAAAGATGATATTGTCAAAGTTTTTTTAAACAAGTAAAGGGGGAAAGAGCTAAGCAAATATATGATCATTTCTTTTTTTTTTTTTTTTTTTTTTTTGAGTTGGGGACTTACTCTGTCACCCAGACTGGAGTGCAGTGGCATGCTCCCAGCCACCGCAGCCTCCACTTGCTGGGCTCCGGTGATCCTTCTGCCTCAGCCTTCCAAGTAACTGGAACTACAGGGAGGCACTATCACATCCGGTTAATTTTTGATTTATTGTAGAGACGAGGTCTCACCAAGTTGCCCAGGCAGGTCTCAAACCCACGGCCTCAGGCAGTCCACTCGTCTTGACCTCCCAAAGTGCGGGATTACAGGCTGATCCACCAAGCCTGGCCTAATAATTTCTGAGAAGACTTTTGAGCTCCTGCTGGTGAGGAAAAAGAGATTTTAAAACTAAATTGCTTGGTTTTTCTGTCTTCTCTGATCAATTTGGCCAAGAAAGTATGAACCTCTGCCATCTTGTATTTATTGACATTAACTGAATACTAAATATGTACAAAAGATAGCCAATAAGAACAAGAGGGAAGTTTCTTGTTCCTTAGGTCTGACCCAAACATTTCCCCCACCGTCGGGGCTGTTTTTCTACTCTGTAACTTGCTGGAGGAGGCCTAGGCACGGTGAGCTCCAGAGTGGGTGGAGGAATAGTTGAAGACTAGGTCTTTCTCTCAGCATGCTGTTTCGTTCTGGCTTGTCCGGGATTTCTGATTTGACCTTTGGGATAAAAGGAGAAGCAAAAGCATGCAGATATGACCTGAAAACCTCCTCAAGATTCTGTTCCCTGGCTGGGACTGCTTTCTCATCTAGTCTGTTTCACTCAAACTGGGTGAAGGGCATTGTTGTAGAGATCAGACATCAGGAACATTTTATTGAAGCCTCTGTTTCTACCAGAATTGGAGAAAGGTTAATCTTAAAATGTTAATTTCAAGGCTGGGCTCAGTGGCTAGTCTGTAATCCCAGCACTTTGGGAGGCCGAGGCGAGTGGATTGTCTGAGCCCGCAGGTTTGAGACCCACCCGGACAACTTGGCGAGACCTCGTCTCTACAATAAATAAAAAAAATTAACCAAGCATGGTAGCACATGCCTGTAGTTCTGGCTACTTAGAAGGCTGAGGCGGAAGGATCACCAGAGCGCAGCAGGTCAAGGCTGCAGTGGCCAGTAGCGTGCTAATGCACTCCAGTCTGGGCGACAGAGTGAGACTCCAACTCAAAAGAAATTGTGAATTTCAGGCTGGCATGGTGGCTTATACCTATAATCCCAGCACTTTGAGAAGTAGAGGCGAGAGGATTGCCTGAGTCCAGGGGTTCGAGACCAAACTGGAAAACTTGGTGAGATCTGGTCTCTACAGTAAATAATAAAATTAGCTGGGCCTGGTGGCATGCACCTGTGGTTCAAGCTACTTGGAAGACTGAGGCAGAAGGATCACCTGAGTCCAGCAGGTCAAGGCTGTGGTGGCCGTGAGCGTGCCACTGCACTCCAGCCTGGGTGACAGAGTGAGGGTCCTACTCAAAAAAAAAAAGTGAATTCTAAAAATGTGTCCTGTGGACAGACTAAGGCATTTGGAGAAGGAATGTCTACCTTGGGCTTTGGTGCTGCACCCTTGGCTCCCTTTCTGAGCTTTCCGCCATTAATGTCAGACTCTGAATTCTCCTTTGTTCTTTGTAACCGACGCTGTGAAAGTGAGCCTTGCCTTTGGCACTGGGTTTTATTCTGCTATGAATGAGAAATTTGATAAAAGCTGATTTTTAAAAGAACTACTTGGTATGGTTTTGAAACATTTTGAAATGGGTAAACCCACTTTTATTTTGGTTAGTACTAACATTCTCCTCTTCCAGTAATTTTCAGGTCATCCAAAGAAGGGACATTGCCCTGCATGGAACTGAATATTTCAGTGCTCCAACTAACTAAAACTTTGCTCCCACCCTGTTAGAGCACTAGGACATACAGAAATCAAGTGCCTGGGGTGGCAGGGAGGGGCCTAAAAGGAGTGGCTGGTAATTCAGAGAATAGGCTCCTTCTTGTCACTGTTTGTCACAGAAGGGTAGCACTTGCTCTTACTCTGCAAAGAATAATGAGGCAGTCCAGGCAAGGAAATAACAAGAAGGCTTTTAGTGTAGGGTGGGCGGAAGTCAGTGTTCTGAGATGGAACCAAAAGATTTATCTTCATAATTTTCCATCGAGGGAGACTGATTTTCAGTGTCATCTCTACTTTTTACAGCAAGATTTTACGGTTTTTATGTTTGCTATATTTTATCACTTGTCTGATTACTTTTCTTATGTTGGAATTGTGTAAAAATGGACATGCTTATTTTGCAGGTGAACATCATTCCAATAATTGCCAAGGCTGACACCATTGCTAAGAATGAATTGCACAAATTCAAGAGTAAGATCATGAGTGAACTAGTCAGCAATGGGGTCCAGATATACCAGTTCCCCACTGATGAAGAAACAGTGGCAGAGATTAATGCAACAATGAGTGTAAGTCCTCAAGTCAAATGGGAACAAGTGATTTTCCTGAAAGCTTTTCTTAATAGCAGCATTGTAGCATGACTCGAATACTAAACTAGTGACCTGCTGTCTTCAGTTGTAGTCCAGCTCTGCCACTCCTTTAAGTCATTTGACCAGCCTGTTCCTCAGTTTCTCCATCTGCCAAAGGGAGACTTAGACAAGACATCTCAATTTTTATTCCTACTCTAACAGTTATGACTTCTACACAAGTTACTGGGAAGGAAAAGCCAGCCTAGCACTATTTCACACCAAGCAGTTCAGAGCAAATAGATCTCTGTTTCTGCTAATGTTGGCCAGAAATATGTCTGCCTATCTCTATTTCACTTCAATGATTGGCTCCTGCCCTTCCCTCCTTTCTGTTTTCCCTACCTTTTCCTGAATCATTAGGTAAACTGGCATTTGAGGATACAATTTCCACATCACAGAGAGGAACTTGTCAGGAGTTAAATGATGAGAGCTGCAGCAGTTCTGTGTATGTTTGTGATGCATTCCCTCCTGGTGAGCCCCAGCCTGCCTCTCTACTGTTCTTCTGGGTGTCTCACAGCCAGCTCAGCTGAGCCATGATAACTTTACATGTCTTTGTCTTTTTTCTTTTGGGAATGCATAACAGCCAGCAAGCAGCTTTCTTCACACATAGTAGATGCCCAGTGATGGTTGCTGGAATTCAAGGTAGTTAGGAACCACAATCCCTGGAAGATGCTGGAGAGCAGATTCTTCCTGGGAAATAGGCATGAAAGGAAGGTTGCCATAAGGGAGACCGACTAGACTGGCCCAGAGCAACCAAAACTCATGGACAAAAGCGCAACAAGGGTTTGGTTCCATCAGGAAGTGAATGTTTGACAGTCAGAGCCATCACAATGGAAGAAACACCTTGTTTCTTGAATGAGAGTTCCCACTGAGTGCTTGGTGGACAACACCTGTTTCAGCGCAAGTGGAAGCGATTCCGCAGAGGGAATTCTTAAACAGGATTGAACCGGATCATATGTAAGATCTCTCATGCTTCTGCAGTCCTCTGGTTGTGGGTATTGAGAGCTACAGAAGAGTAGCACTGGACGTTTTTGATGTTTGTGGAGCATTTACTGTGCGCGAGGCACTTTTCAAGGGTTTCCATTCATTAATTCTCTCAACAACCCCAAGGGAAGATGTTGTTATTATTCCTACCTCAGATGAGGAAACAGCAGAACAGCAGCACCCAAGATGGCACAGCTGTGGGCAATGCAGGTGGGGATTGAGCCCAGGCCATTTATACTGCTACCCGAGCAGTGTACAGGGTGCAGTTAGCCCTCTACATCCATGGGTTCAACCAACTAAGGACCAAAAATATTTAGAAGAAAAAAACACAAAAATAATCATACAATGATTATAATACAAATAAAGTGCAGTATAGCAATGATTTATACTGTATGAGGCATTATGTGTAATCTAGAGATGACTTAAAGTACGTAGGAGGATGTGCATACGGTACCATTTTATATCAGGGATTTGAGTCCCTGTGGATTTCAATGTCCACAGGAGGTCCTGGGACCAGTCCCTATGGATACTGGGGGAGGATTGTACTTTTTCTTAAAGCACAGTCAAGAGCTCAAGCTGGGATGGCACTCTTTTATTCTGCTGTAGAACTATAATTTGGGATGTCAGTGTAGGGCTCAGGAAGTAACATGATGAATACCATGTAATTTCTGTTTTATATTTCTCCCCATTTGTCTCAATAATTTTTCATGGTCATGAAACTATATTTGTGTTAAACTTCCTGGAAAGGAAGTACCTATGAACTATGCTTTGTTTCTCTCTTTATTTGATTAATAGAACTGGAGTTCTTTGACATTGCAAATTAATTCTGCTCTTTCAAGCAGTATTCTTTTAGGATCTTCATTGCAAACAATTCTTGCTGAAGAAATCCCATGAGATATGTAGCAATCTGAGGAAAACAGATCCCACTGGTGGTTGCTTTTGAGCCATTTGAGTAGAGACATTTTCTTGGTCATTTCACCAAAATGTTGGCCAGAAGGGTCATGTTGCTCTTGAACTTCAGGGAACACATTTCAGTTTAGACTTGGAGTTTGAGAAAAAGAATTGCTTTCTTTCCTTCCTACAGAGTGTAAGATGAATTAGAAAATGGAAATATCTTGCACATCAGATACAATGCCACATGGGCAACCTGAGACGAGGATTGTGCCCAGCTGTCAGTGGGAGGGGATCTGACCTGAAAACATTCCCTTCTTTCTCAACTTGCCTGTAGTGAAAGAGCATTGGATCCAGGAATCCTAAGTAATAGTCCTCAGAGTAATTGTTATCTAAGGATTATTCTTTTTTTTTTTTTTGAGTTGGAGTCTCACTCTATCGCCCAGACTGGAGTGCAATGGCCGCTCCCGGCCACCGCAGCCTTGACCTGCTGGGCTCCAGCGATCCTTCCTCCTCAGCCTTCCAAGTAGCCAGAATTACAGGCACACGCTATCACGCCCGGCTGATTTTTTTATTTATTGTAGAGATGAGGTCTCGCTGCCCAGGTGGTTCTCGAGCCCGCGGGCTCCGGCAATCCACTCACCTTAGCCTCCCAAAGGTGCGGGATTACAGGCTGAGCCACCGAGCCCAGCTATGGGGATTATTCTTAAGCATGTTAATAGAAATTAGAATGAGCATCTCCCTGCTCTCCCTCTCCAAAATGTAGCCATAACCACCAAATAAACCATCATGAAAGACTCAGTTGTCTTGGATACCATGTCTGCTTGAGATTAATCTAGGTACAAGGCTTGAGTCAAATAATTTGGGCTAAAGTGTGTTTCTGCCTTGAAATTTGTGTGGTGATCAGCGGTTTAAAGCAGTGCTGTTTGCTAGAAATAAAATGTGAGTCACACAGTACTTAAAATTTTCTAATAGTCACATTATAATAGTAAAAAGAAATATGATACTAAATTTAAGAACTTAACCTAGTATATTCCAGAATATTATGTTTCCCTATGAAATCAATATAAAAATTAGTGAACTATTTTAATAGTTGGTCTTTGAAATCTAACATATATTTTACAGTGACAGCCTATCTCATTTTGGACTTTGAAGTTTCATGAAAAACATTTTATAAAATTACAATTTAAAATGTGATTTACATTGAGAGGCCGAGGTGGGAGGATTGCTTTAGTCCAGGAGTTAAAGACCAACCTAGGCAACATAGCAAGATCTTGTTTCTTAAAAGAAATTTTAAAAATTAGCCAGGCATGGGTGGTGTGCGCTGTAGTCCCAGCTACTCGGGTGGCTGAGGCAGAAGGATCACCCGAGCCCAGAAGGTCGAGGTTGTGGTGAGCTGTGATGGTGCCACAACACCATCTGGTGTGGGCAACAGAATAAGACTCCAACGCAAAAAAACTCACAACTTTTCCTTTAAAATTTGCATCTACCTTGCCAAAACTAGTCTTTTTTAGAAGATTTGATATTAGTTTGAAACAAAGTGAGATGCCATTTTACGAAGACAATAAAGTTATATTTAATGGAAAAATATTGTACACTGCTTCAATTTCAGATTTAAGTGTGAGTTAAAAGTTAAATATCCTTGGTCTTACAGGCCCTATTTCAAGTGTTCCTTGCCATGTGTAGTGTTTGACAGCACATGCCTAAAGCCTGCTGTCTCCTTGCAAAGACTTATCCAGTTTCTCCTTGAATCCGGCTCGTACCAGATATTTGGTGTTTGGTCACAGGGGCAGGATGTGTAACATGCACCCATGAGCTGCCTTCTCCTGCCTGTCCCAACTCTCTCCTTCTTTCCTTTTCCCCCCAAGCAGCAAGGCCTGCAGGAGGAGGGGGAGTGTAGAGGCTGGTGGAGAACAGGTCCCTGTCACAGCTGTTGAGGTGACCTCTCTCTCTGTTGCTTGACAGGTTCATCTCCCATTTGCAGTGGTCGGCAGCACTGAAGAGGTGAAGATCGGCAACAAGATGGCCAAGGCCAGGCAGTACCCCTGGGGTGTGGTGCAGGGTACGTGCCTGGCACGGGAGGGGCTCTTCCCATGTGATCCCATGGGGAATGGCCACGTTTCCTCCCTCCCCCCTCCCATTTAGGAATTCCTTGACATGGCAGGCAACGGGAGGGGGTGATGGGTCCGCACCCTGGAGATGCGGAAAAAACAGCAGTCAGTAGGGGACAAGAGACACTGGCTGCAACCCCTCCAGGCAACTAGACACCCAGGCACCCTCAGGGATGGAGGTTGTGTTCAGTATGAATTCCAGTATGATAGAAAGGAGTTCTTCCCTGGAAGTTTGAACCAGCGTCATCAGTAAGTATAGAAAAAGCTGTACAAAGTTTCTTATAAACTTTGCAAAAGAAAATGCGTGTTTCTCCGTCAACTTTGGAAATGTCTTCCAGTTAAATGTTATTTCAGTAAATCTGAGATTTATGAGACTGTGGGATGTGACTAAAGTTTCTAACCAGAAGGCTGGTCAGGTGTGTCACTTTGAAGGGCGAGGACTCTGTGATCTGCCATTGTGTGTCTTGAGAGAGGACATGCAGTGCTATAGGTGAAGTGAGATGGCCACACAAAGCTCCTTCGTGGCCTGAGGATATCTCAGTCCTCCTTTTCCTCTGTTCTGCATAAAGGCAATAAAGCTATGAGAAGTGAGAAGAAAGGTCCCTGGGAAAATTCTGATTTTTCTGGCTCTTCCCAATTTCTCTACAATAAGAAAATTCCATTCTTCCCAGTGCTGGTATGACTAAATGAGACGGGATATGAAAACAGCCCTGTCCATTTCTATTGTGGATGGTAGAAACAGGCCCTGCTTTGGGCCAGAAGTTACAGAATTTGAATTTAGACACTGCCAGCTCTTGGGAGGTCAGCTTGCTCATCAGAGCAAGGCTTCTGCATCTACAAAGCAAGAGTCCCGACATCTACGTGGCAGAATTATGATGGGTAGAGACAATATTTGTCAAACTTCTCTCCAGAGCCCTGTGCTAAGTGGGCACTTGTTGTCATCAGCATCATAATCAGCGCGGTCAGAAGTCTTGTCTTCACTAGGAATGTACAGCAAATCCAGTAATGGGTCTTCAGCTGGCCCCAAGACTGCAGAGGTATCAGGAGTGATGGTGACAACATCATGGAAGCATCACTCTGGATTTTCAGTGACATTGTTGCTGATATTGCCCCACCTTTTCCCATTATCTCTTGCAGTTGAGAATGAAAACCATTGTGATTTTGTGAAACTGCGGGAGATGCTGATCCGTGTGAATATGGAGGACTTGCGAGAACAGACCCACACCCGCCATTATGAATTGTATCGCCGCTGCAAACTTGAGGAGATGGGTTTCAAGGACACTGACCCTGACAGCAAACCCTTCAGGTATGCGGGGACAGCATCGGGTGTCTGTGGGGAGTGTCGAGGGGTGAGGGCAGGGTGGGTGCCATGCTTGTTGAATTGGGAGGACCTGGGGGGTGAAGGTGGGTAGCCTGCCTCGCCAGGTCACTTGCATTGTCTCAACCATCATGGATGTCATTGTTATCATCCGCATTTTACAGTTAAGGAAACTAAGGCACTGGAGATGAAACAGCCTGCCTGAGGTCCGCCCAGTAGCAAGTGATGGGTGGGTGTTGAGTCCTGGCTATCTGGTTCCCAAGCCAGGCTCCTCACTGTAGCATTGCAGAGGCGCGGAGTTTTGTCAACTCAAGCACAAAGGCACAGCTGTGGGCCCCCAGTTTGCCCCATTCACTTTGCCAAGAGGTTTCACTCCCTAAGCTAATATTTAAGTCGGGGGCCCTCTTCCTTTTTTTGCACGTGCTTACTAGCTCTCAGTGATTCCGTGCAATTTTCACAGCAAATCAATAGGACAGGGAGTAAACGTTCAGAAAATGAATGTGCTTTCTCACATGGATGGATGGAGGTGCAAAATGTGAAGGGGAGGAAGGAATGTAGAATTGTGCCTGAGCAGAAGCGAGTCCAGTGGCAGGGAAAGGGGACAACCGTTGCCCATACCAGCTTGGCAAATGGCGGGATGGCCCTGGGTTGCTGCTGGTGGAGGTCAAGCCAGGTCATCACCTCCTGGCAGGGTAGGGGATTGTCCAGATGGCTCCCAGGCAGTCTCTTCACGGGGGTTTGGATTGAGGTGTTGTGGGCTGTCTGGGCTTCATGCCACCACCGACTGGGGGCCATAGTTCTGTGGAGGCGGGGTGGGGGGGACCTGCTTTCTTTCTCTTCTAGCTATCCCAATAATACACTCAGATGTCTAGATGCTGGCTGGCTTCAGAGCCCGAGGCAGCCTGTGCAGTGTGGACAGGTTCTGTACCCTTGGGGTTGAGCTGCCATTGCGGTAGAAGGTGGTGTTTTTTAACAGTTGTTTTTGAAATCATTGAGTAATGTCTGGGCTGGTGCCCCAGCACAGTGCTACTATTCGGTTTCCTGAACATGAGCCTATTCAGTGAGAAAAGTGCAGACCCCAGACAAAGGGTTAACTAAGAAGTTAACTTCCAATCATGATGGTACCATTTAATCTTGCCCTGGGGCTTGGGAAACCACAGTCTTCAACCATGTGAAATGTCACTTTCCGAGACAAGGGTTAGGCTGCTTTTTTGTGTGACAGGTTTAGCTAATTGGACCTTGAAATGTATTAACTAGAAATAGTCCTTGTAAAAGTGATCCCATTTGTGATGACCTGAGTAAAATGCAGTTTGTGTGGGGGAAAGACCAGCTTCTGGAGTACATGCACTATTTGTTCTCAGGCACAGAGATGGAACACAAAGAACTGCTGCAGAATTTAATCCATTTGCCTGTTTGCTTTCATTCAAATCCAGACAGTGATGGAGAGTACCGGGCTAGGAGTCACAAATCTGGGTTCAAGTCTTGGCCTTACTACTACACAACCTTAACCCATCTGGGTCTGAGTTTCTTCATCTGTGAAATGAGGGGCTGGGCCAGATGAAGAGATAATCAGATCTAGCAAAAAGACTTTTTCTCTAATAGCCAGAGAATAAATATTTTAGGTTCTGCAGATCAGGTGATCTCTGTCACAACTACTTGATTCTGCCCTTGCATTCGAAAGCAGCCATAGACCATAGTTTAAATGAACTGTATTTCAATAAAACTTTATTTACAAAAACAGGTGGGGAGCCAGATTCGGTTCTCAATCTGTGATTTGCCAGTGGCTGGGGAGCTTGTGAACTGCCTGTAAAAGTTAGAACATGTGACTGTTTCTTGAGTTTGTTAGAGGTAATTTACCTCCTAAAATGTTGACAGCTGTTCAGCATGGAGATGTTCCTTTCAACTCTGGAATTTGTTGGAATTTGAAGAAACTGTGATGCTACTCTTAGCTGCATGTCACTATCAGAAAGACCAGGTGGTCTAAGTCTGCCTGCTGAGACAGGAAAGATCCAGTCCTCCACCAGGGCTCCTTGGTTCTCTGGGAACCTAGGTGGTAAGGATTTCTTGCTGCTGCAGACATGCAACCTGCCATGCTATCTCTGTAGCTGGTGTTTTAGTTAAGGCATCTCCTACATACCCAGGAGGGTGAGCTTGGAGGAGTTTGGAGGAATATAAGTAAGGGTTTTTTAAAAAAATTTGGTCTTTTGAGTCAGTGTCTTACTCTGTCATCCAGGCTAGATACAGTATCACAATCATGGCTACCACAGCCTCAACCTCCTGGGCTCAGGCAATCCTTCTGCCTCTACCTCCTGAATAGCCAGGACTACAGGCATTACCACCATGCTCAGCTTATTTTTTTATTTTCTTTTATAGGGACGAGGTCTCAATGTGTTGCCCAGGCTGCTCTTGAACTCCTGGGTTCAAGCAGTCCTCCTGCCTTGGCCTCCCAAAGTGCTGGAATTACAGGCTTGAGCCACCACACTGAGCCTAATGTGGGGTTTTTCTATTCTCAAATAGAAAATTCCTGCCTGGGCATGCAGTGAAGTTCATCCTTCCCTTTGAGTACCCTGTGTCCACAGTTTGTCCTCGGGGCTCCATTTGTGTTTATATCACGTGTTCATAAAACAGAGAGTGATCTGAGGCCAAACCTAGTGAGTAGCAGCCATCTCTGTAGCTGTTACACCGGTCTTCCAGCCTTGACAGCACACCACGGGCAGGGAGGCTTGTGTAGCCCGACCCTGATGCTGCCCTCCAACCTCCCTGTGTCCAGAGTTGTGTCTTCATTGTCTTGGGCAGAGCACGCATGTATTCAGGCGTCAGGCTGCCCTTTTCCATCACACCCTGCACAGGCTCACTTGCTGCCCTGCAGTTCACACTCCCATCGCCCCAAGTGCCCATCCCTTCCCTGCACCGGGCCTCTCTCTCTGGCTGGCATTATAGAGTAAAAGAGGTGACTGGTTGTGTGCCCCCTGTGAGCCACTCCCTGCTTCCCTTCTGAAAACCACCCCCTTTGTTCAGCAGTCCCTGCCCAGACTATTGCTTCCTCATCTCAAACACTGCCTTCTTGATGCGCCACCAGTCAGTTCACAACAAGTGCCCGTCACCACCATTCTCCCAGAGGCGAAGATGTTCTGGGGACTCACTCATTTTTATTTTTTTTATTTTTATTATTATTATCTTTTTAAACATTTTATTATTTTATTTTTTTTTATTTTTTTTGAGTTGGAGTTTCACTCAGTTGCCCAGACTGGAGTGCAGTGGCCGCTCCCCGCCACCGCAGCCTCGCCTGCTGGGCTCCGGCGATCCTTCCGCCTCAGCCTTCTGAGTAGCCGGAATTACAGGCATGCGCTACCACGCCCGGCTGATTTTTTGATTTATTGTAGGGATGAGGTCTCGCTGCCCAGGCGGGTCTCGAACCCGCGGGCTCAGGCAATCCACTCACCTCAGCCTCCCAAAGGTGCGGGATTACAGGCTGAGCCACTGAGCCCGGCTTGACTCACTCATTTTTAGATGTGGTCGGGCCTTGTTTCATCGGCCATGCAGTACAGGAGTAGAACTCCTGGCCTAGCAAGGCAGCCTGGGTTCAGTCCAGGCTCTGTCACTTCTTCATGGTGTGACCTGGACAAATTTTGAAACACCTGCGTGTCCATGTGTCTCTATCTGTAAAATGGGAGGTAATAATGCCCACCCTAGTGGGTTGTTGTAAGAATTACATGAATTCACTGTGTAAATTGCACCAGAAATGCTGGTGGCAATGATCATATGCTGGCATGCCCTCTGCTGGATGGTTCCAGGGGGTTTGAACAGGGAGAGGAATGTGCTCTGTGGATTACCAGAACAAAGAATGCAAGGAAGTGTCTGTGTTCATTTTCCCTTCCCTTGACTTCCATGAGCAAAACCTCCCTCTCCCAAGGGCTGTTGAAAGGAAATGAGAAGATAAAACCCTCAGCTCCAAGCCATCCTAAAACATTGTGAAACAGTTGCAGGCTTCTCACTTAGAAAGGAGTGTTAAGAACTGTAATTAAAAATTAAGTTTGAAGGGCTAAAAATTACAAAAGATGTTGTCGTGTAGGTATCTGTGAGTGGATAATTTAGAACCAGTTCCTTTTGAACTGATGCTCAATGACTGGAAATCAGTGAGGGTTTCTGGTGTCTGGTTAACAACTCAATTGGCAGAGTGACTGGAGTTAGCATTCTCTGGATGCTGTGGTTCTTAGTTGTTTGTAAATAACTTATTGCAGTTATGACTCCTTAAGGTAAGATTTTATGACTTCTTTCTTACATGTTTCTGGTCATTTTCAATGTCAGAGTTCAAAAGCTAGTTCACATCCTAGGATACAAGGAAGCAGGAGCATTTGTTGACTCCATGCTCCTGCTACAACCCAGGGTGTCAAAACTGCCACCAGACACTCACTCACAGCTGACTCCAGACTTGTTAATAGTGAAGTTGTTCCCTAGGCTTTCTCTGGGACTGGGACTTCCCAACTTCGGGCTACAACCTTCAGTATAAAAAACACTTTTTTGTCATGATCCATTATAAACATTTCATGTAATAATGGCTACTCTTAGTATTTGCGTTACACTCTGGTGTTTTCTGTCCTATTCTCATAAGCTTGTCCCTTCAACACACCAATTAAGACCCATGGTTGGATTGTGATGCATAGACTGACAATCTCTCTCCAGAAACAAGCATGGGGTAGGTTGTGGGTGAGACTGGATAAGACAGAGTCACCTTGAGAGCTCTCAATATTTTGGGTCATTTTACCCAAAGCACATTCTATTGGTGAGTTACTTAAAGCTTCCATGATCAAACAAAAGTGGAGGGCTCTAAGATAATCAGCTAAGCAGGTTATTTTACTGAAGGGCTTCTCAGTACATTTAAGACAAGCTGTGGTTAGCACACTAGTGTGAGAAACACTTAAAAACAGACCATTTTGCCTTAGCCAGGCATCCTGAGCCTTCATCTTCAGGGGTGGATTTAGGCGTCTGTATTTAGAAAAGCACGACCCACATGCCCAGGGGGTCCTGACGTGCTGCGAGGCTGGGACTCACTGTCCTGTGGGGCTCCTGAAAGGAAGAGCCAGAGCATGTTCCTGGTACCCTCTTGGAGATCCTCCCTGGAAATGGGTGATCTCTGGAGCACGTTTTGGACAATGTTTCTATAAAAGGTGTTACATTGCGTGTCAGAAAGAAGAGGGAGGTGTGTTGGTTATACTAAGATCAACAAAATGGAATCTTCTGTAAAATTTTATAGCAGGGACAAGTCATCCTCCGCCTTTGGCAATTTACATCCAAATAATAGTAATGCTTTTATTTGTAAGCTAACAAGCAGAATAAGATGCACGAGTTATTTTATAGTTTTGTTATCCACATACTTCTGTTTATCTCTGGTGCTGAAGTCCAGCTATTGAACTCGAAGTCCATTAATGTTGATATTAGCTAACATTAACACTGGCCAAACTTGTTTTTGTCTCATAAGGTAATGTGGAAGCTAAGTAGACCTCTGGAAACGCAAAACACCTGACTGTGCATAAACAGGTGATGTTGATAGTGTTGAAGGCAAGAGAACTTATTTTTAAGTAACTAACAAGTATTAATTATGGAAGTATAACCCATCCTCGTTAATGTGTTTTCCAGTACCAGCCATTTGTGCATTCATTACACATCCACAAGCATGTGTGCTCCCACCACCTGAGTTTCCTTTTTCTCCTTCTGAATGAACAGGTATGAGTGCTGTGAGGGTCTGTATGGTGCCTGGGGCCTTCCCCGTTGCAGTCCAGTTTGTACTCTGGACTTGGGATGTGAGTGGTCCATAGGTAAAGGTAGATAATGAGTTACTACACAGCTGTTGTTCTAGGGAAACTGCAAGAGAGAGAGAGAGAGAAGTAGCACCTTCGAGAAGGTCAGTCAGCAAGTGCTTCTCAGTATGTCCATGGACTGGGGTGAAGGTCAGCAAGTGCTTCTCAGCATGTCCGCAGGGTGGGGTGAAGGTCAGCAAGTACTTCTCGGAGTGTCTGTGGGTTGGGGTGAAGGTCATCAAATGCTTCTTGGCATGTCCATGGGCTGGAGTAAATGTCAGCAAGTGCTTCTCGGCGTGTCTGTGGGGCAGGGTAAAGATCAGCAAGTACTTCTCGGCTTGTCCACAGGTGAGGTGAAGGTCAACATGTGCTTCTCGGAATGTCCACAGGCTGGGGTCACGGTCATCAAGTGCTTTTGGCGTGTCCGTGGGCTGGAGTGAAGGTCAACAAGTGCTTCTCGGCGTGTCCATGGGATGGGGAGTGTTTTAAGCTGTCACTGCTGTGCCACCAAAGTGATTTCTCTTTTTTCTCTCTCTATTCTGACTTAGAGATAAAGCTGGGTCATGCCATTTAATGTTAAATATTGGACTCCAAATATTCTGTAGATAGGAGGAAGATGAGGTTTAAAATAAAAATAAAACTCTTCTCGATTTGCAATTGGTAACACAGCTTGACAAGTAACAATTTTCTGCTATACTTTAGAGATCCTGCTGTCTGTGGTTTGTTCATTAAGTCTGTTTTCCAGAGTGGGAACCGGAGAGGGTATGTGGGGAGGCAGCATTTAGTAAGCACTGATTCTAGGTCAATGCTTTACTCACTCTCCCGCCCCCCATTTTATTCCTCTTGACTACACCCCCAGAAGGTAAGTGCTGTTGTATCCACATCGTGTATGTTGGGGCTGTGCCTTTCCCAAGGCCAGTCAGTTGGTGGAGCCAGGATCCATACCTGGTCTTCATGGCTCCAGTGCCTCTTCACTTCTCCCCATACACCACTCTGCCTTCATCTTCTAAAATTCTAAGTCAGGCTGGGCTCGGTCTTTCCAATTGCTGCGTAAGTACAACAAAACGGCACTATAATCAGCCTATAATCCCAGCACTTTGGGAGGCCGGGGTGAGTGAATTGCCTGAGCCCGCGGGTTTGAGACCTGCCTGGGCAACTTGGCGAGACCTCGTCTCTATAATAAATAAAAAACTAGCTGGGTGTGGTAGCGCGCGCCTGTAATTCCAGCTACTAGGAAGGCTGAGGCGGAAGGATCGCTGGAGCCCAGCAGGTCGAGGTTGCGGTGGCGAGGAGCAGCCACTGTACTCCAGTCTGGGCTATGGAGTGAGACTCCAACTCAAAAAATAAGTCAGATTTTCCTTGTATGACTATATGTAAGATAAAACTTGATGAGGCCAGTCAGGGTGGCTCATACCTGTAATGCCAGCACTTTGAGAGGCTGAGGCAGGAAGATTATTTGAGGCTAGGAGTTCAAGACCAGCCTTGGCAACACAGTGAGACCCCATCTCTACAAAAAGAAAATTTAAAAATTGACCAGGCCTGGTGGTATGTGCCTGTAGTCCAGCTACTCCAGATGCTGAGTCAAGATGATCTTTTGAGCCCAGGAGGTTTAGGCTGCAGTGAGCTAGGGTCATGCCACTGCACTCCAGCCTGGAGTGAGTGACAGAGTGAGACCCTGTCCCCACCCCAAAGAAAAACTTGGCAAGTTAGAGATATGCCTTAGCAGTGCATTATGCTCATTAATTCATTTCTAGTTCTTGATGCACTTGTCTTTCCATTTGCTGCATAAGTACAACAAAATGGCACTATTTTATTTGTGCTTTAATATAGTAAGCAGCAGTCTTATCTATTTTTTGGAAGTAGATGGGTAGAAATTATATGAACTGAAGTTTCTTATGCAATTACATGACCCTGTCCTTGGTTTGTGGATTTTGAATAGCCTCCAGGAGACATATGAAGCGAAAAGGAATGAATTCCTGGGAGAACTGCAGAAGAAAGAAGAAGAAATGAGACAGATGTTTGTCATGAGAGTGAAGGAGAAAGAAGCTGAACTGAAAGAGGCAGAGAAAGAGGTGAGCCCTCTGTCTTTCTTCAAGAGGGAAACGAGAGAGACATCTCTTATTAATACTTCACTTTTCCTGGGACTTCATCATGGTCCAAGTACTTTCCACATACATTGTCTCATGAGTCACATACCAACCTGGCCAGAAAGATGGGTCAGAGATTCTCATTTCTATTTGACAGAAATGAGAATCTGAGAGTCCTAAAGGTTAAGCTGTTTTTGCAGTCACATACCTAGTGAGCAGCAAAACCCAGACTAAAACTACGTCCCCACACCCGCTCAGATGGTCTTTGTGGCTGTGTGTTTCAAGTGAAAAGGTGTGAAACATGAGATTCAGATTCTGGGACTGTATTATTTTGTCTATCAGCCAGCAGTGAGCTGGGCAGTGGGGGGGGCAAGCCATCTGTCCTTCTATGGGATGGTCTGACACGAAGCCTGGACTCCATGTGTGTGCCCATGCTGGTCCCTTTGTTGGGCTCACTCTCCCTGCTCCACTGTCCCCTCTCCAGGTAAAGAGTAACCACTTCCTAGAAGTGCATGTGGATTTCTGCTATAACACTCACACCATGGTATTTGAGGGTGTGTGTGTGTGTGTGTGTGTGTGTGTGTGTGAGAGAGAGAGAGAGAGAGAGAGAGAGTGTGTGTGTGTGTGTGTGTGTGTGTGTGTGTGTGTGTAGTGTGTCTGCTTCTACTGGTAGATAATAGGTATCTCAAGTGTTTGACCTGTAACTCAATACATTTCTAAAGGAAATCATTTAAATAATTTCCTTATTCTCTTGTTTTAATTTACCTTCATAAAAACTACTGAAACTTACAGGTTATTTAAATAGCCAAGCCCTCAAGATGGTTTTTCTGCAGAGAAAGGAAAGTTGAAACTCTGTTTAAGTCAGAGTCTCACTCTGTTGCCCAGGCTGGAGTACGGTGGCATACTCACGGCCACCACAGCTTCGACCTACTGGGCTCAGGCGGTCCTTCCACCTTAGTCTTCCAAGTAGCTGGAACTACAGGCACGCACTACCATGCCCAGCTTATTTTTTGATTTATTGTGGAAACAAGGTCTCGCCAAGTTGCCCAGGCTGGTCCCGAACTCTCGGGCTCAGGCAATCCTCTGTCCTCGGCTGCCTCCCAAAGTGCTAGGATTATAGGCTGAGCCACTGCATCCAGCCTGCTGTTATTTTTAAGAACCAAGCGGATACTGGGTAAAAAATGAGTGGGAAGTTTTTCTTTCTCTTCCTCTCTCTCTCCCTCCCTTCTTTCCAGTTTTTGTTACTGATTCCGATTTTAAAAACTCAGTTTGTTGCCAGGCGCAGTGACACATGCCTGTAATCCCAGCACTTTGGGAGGCAGGGGCGAGAGAATTGCTTGAGCTCAGGGTCTGAGACCAGCCGGAGCAACATGGCAAGAACTCGTCTCTGCAATAAATTAAAAAAAAAATCAGCCAGCATAGCAGCACATGCCTATAGTTCTGGCTACTTGGAAGGCTGAGGCAGAAGGATTGCCGAGTTCAGCAGGTCAAGGCTGCAGTGGCCGTGAGCAACCTGGGCGACAGGGTGAGACTCTGACTCAAAATAAATTAATTAATTAAATTAAATTCAGTTTGTCAGTCTATGGCCATAGTATCCTATGGCCATACCATCTCAGCTGAAAAGTTAGTTTGTCAAGGACCAGAAATTTCTCAACTCATCTTATTTAAGTAGTTGATATTTATAGGCACGCGCATGCGCGCGCGCGCACACACACACACACACACGCACACACAATCACTGTGTATATCTCTAGTTAAATATATTTTATACATTTTGAAAAAGGACCCCAGAGGTAAAGAACTGCTTTTTCCAATAGAGTAAACTTTTTGTCAGGATATGAATGTTTATTTTCTGCATTATGCTTTTTAAAATGCATATGTGTCCTATTATCAGAGTTCAAGGAATGTTTAGTACCAAGGAGTGCAAATGTCAAAGAGGCCTTGTGCTCTGAGGGTACACTTTGCACCTGGCCTCGCCCCCAGAAAGGTACCCAGCGGAACTTCGTGCCTGCACTTGAAGCGAGTGCAACCACATGATGAGCACTTTGTTTTCTGAATAGATCCAGAGAACTTTTCATCAGTAAGGTTTTCATTTCCTTCACCAAGCCTGTCCTCTGTTTCTCTCCAGCTTCACGAGAAGTTTGACCTCCTGAAGCGGACACACCAGGATGAAAAGAAAAAAGTAGAAGACAAGAAGAAGGAGCTGGAGGAGGAGGTGAACAACTTCCAGAAGAAGAAAGCTGCAGCTCAGTTACTGCAGTCCCAGGCCCAGCAAGCAGGGGCCCAGCAAACCAAGAAAGACAAGGATAAAAAAAAGTAAGCAGGTGTCCCCTGGGCGCTGGGGACCGCTAACAATTCACTCTTCTTGCATGTCTCCACTTTTCCCACTTACAGACTGGAAGCTGGTCTGTTAACAGGAAGATAAAAGCAAGTCTTTTCTCAGCAGTGCAGGGAAGATGGTGACAGTTTTTAAAGTATGTGTAAAGGTTACCCAGAGATGAATTTATAGAACGTGACCACACTGATCCAGCAGCCAGGACTGGAGTAACCTGTTGTCTCCTGTAGTGTTTTCTGCACCAACACTAGGATTCTGGAAGAAGACAGGTTTATTTCTCTTCAGTGCCCTCTGAAGACAGTTCTCCCAACTCTTTTGATAAAGAGCATCCTAAAATTATCGTTGTTAAAATTATTCTCCTAGTCCGTGTTGTCAGGCTTGGTGAGCCAGTCACGAAAAGCCTCGTTCCCAAAATGAACTATTTGGAAGAGCTGCTAGTGGCCACTAGTCTTCCTCTAAATTCAACAAGATGATGCATTGTTTTATTGTGGAATGGGATGAAAATACCTATCCCACTAAGACACCCCTGCATCTCTGAAGCCACACCTAAAACCACTCACAGGACGTTTTTAAATAGGGCCTTGGCTTCATGTGCCGAAGGGTCAGATTCTGCTCTTGAGTCGGTCGCTTTCCATGATACTCCAGTAGCAGCTGCCTGCACCCCAGACATCTGGGCCTTCCTGAAATCCTCTTGTGCTTTGAAACTCTCCTTCGAATCACCATAAGGCCTAGGGGGTGCAGCTTTAGTCACTAACTACAGTTCTGACAGTCAGCACAGTGGTAAGGATCCCCTTGCGGAAAACCTTTGTGCAGCCAGTGGCGCCTTCGCGGATGCTGTCCTTCTCTGTCTAGTGTGTGGTGCTCTTAGGGCAGCTGTAAAGTGACTCAGAACTTATTTCGGGATTCTTGCTCTTCATCCTCAGATGCCAAGGTTCTAGGGGAAAAGCTGACAACTGATAAACAATAAAAATGTTGGTACTCGAGCGGACAGAGAATTACATTCTTTAAAAATAAAGCACATGGAAGCCGGGCTCGATGACTCAGCCTGTAATCCCGTGCTTTGGGAGGCTGAGGTGAGTGGATTGCCTGAGCCCGCGGGTTCGAGACCCGCCTGGGCAGCGAGACCTCCTCTCTACAATAAATCAAAAAATCAGCCGGGCGTGGTAGCACGCGCCTATAATTCCAGCTACTCGGAAGAAGGCAGAAGGATCGCTGGACCCAGCAGGCGAGGCTGCGGTGGCTGGGAACGGCCACTGCACTCTAGTCTGGGCGACAGAGTGAGACTCCAACTCAAAAAAAAAAAAAAAAAAAATTTTACAGCACATGGGATTGAGTCTCTGCATATAATCGAGACCTGCCCTAGGGAAAGGGAGCCTGTGCCACTGGGCACTTAGTCTTGGTGAACCTGCAGAGGGCCCGCCCAAAGGAAATCTTATGTTTCCTGCAGTCACAAAAAGTACTGCTCCAGTGACGTGTTGGGAGATGTAAATCGTGCTTTACAGATGTTGAGTTTCTGAGCTCTGAGATGGCAGAAAACGTGTCATCAGAGTAATGGAGTAGGAGATTTACTAAACAATGTTAGAAGCAGTTGGTATAGATGTAGTGTGATTTTAATTGGGGTTGTACAGACCTCAGTGACCAAAGGAGTCTAAGGCCCAACATTTAGTTATGCTGGATTAATTCAGTGTAGCAGCTGCCTAGATTACAACCCAGTTTAAGAAAGCCCTTTGTAGCTGTGCATGTGGGGAGAGCGTCAGACACTAATGCTGATGTGTCCCCTACAGAGACTCAGATTACAGTGACTCTTCCGTGAAGACAAATAAAAGCCATTTGGCATTGTATCTTTGTTGACCTAAACTAGCCCAGAATATAGTTGTGTGTGTGTGTGTGTGTGTGTGTGTGTACATGTCTATAGGCATGAATGAGACAGAAAGAGCTGTTGATTCACAGCTTAGAAAACCCAAAGTCAAGTTTTTCTTACTTGCATAAAGGTACAAGTTTTAAAACTTAAAAAAAAATGTTTATAAAAGACCAGCAATGTTAAGAGTATTTCATGTATACTAGATGTGCCTTTAAGCAATAAAAGTTCCACGAGCTGATCATTAGTATGCTTCCATTTTTAAAAAAAGTCAGCCGGGCGTGGTGGCTCACGCCTGTCATCCCAGCACTTTGGGAGGCAGAGGCGAGAGGATTGCCTGAGCCCAGGGGTTTGAGACCAGCCTGGGCAACTTGACAACACCTCGTCTCTACAATAAATCAAAAAATTAGCTGAGCATGGTAGTGCATACCTGTGGTTCCTAGCCCTTGGAAGACTGAGATGGAAGGATTGCCTGAGCCTGGCAGGTCGGGGCTGCAGTGGCCTTGAGCGTGCCACTGTACTCCAGCCTGAGTGACAGTGAGACTCCGACTCCAAAAAAACAAAAAAAAGTCTATTTAGTAACAGGCTTCCTGGTATAGGGAGGTTCTCCCTTTCCCCTTTGAGCATGTGAGGAGGCTCTTTGCTTCCTATCCTAGGGCCTTACCAATGTATACTGCTTACGTGAATTCTATTTTAGCTTTCTTTATATATTCTCATTTATTTTTAATGACGTCAGACTTAATTTGGTTTGCAGTAGTCACCAGGCTTTGCATCTGACAGTGGCACACATTTTTTGTATAACCTTTTCTGGGTTCTTTCCCTTTTCCACAGTTTCCATTTGTGCAGTGAAACTGCCAGTTGGAGGCCTGAGGGGTCAAAGTTAAAAAAAACAAATCACACCTCTTACTGCCAGAGGCTGTGGAGAGTTGGTTAAGGGAACCACAGACAGACAGTAGCCAGGGACATCACACAGTGCAGAAACGGGAAGACTCTTTCCTCCTAGTACCATGCTGGAGAAGAAGCAGGCGCCACCATTTGGGAGGTGACTTTGTTTAGGTAGAAAATGAAAAGAGAGACATTTGCGTATTCACCTGCTCAGCTTCCACCTTAAAACTTAACTGAGTTTTCCTAATAGTTTTAAATTCTCTTTTTCTATTCTAACGACATGCTCCTTTTTTAATGTAGGTAAGACTTTCTACTTCTCCTTGACCTGTAGTGGCATGAGAGTAAATAACATTTTTTAAGATGACAGGCCAAGTAGCACTAACCCTGGCACTGCCAGTAGCCAGACCCCATTTCCCCCATCTCTGGCCACCAAGTCACTTTCCTTGTTGGCAACTACATGACAGTGGTGGGACTGCCAAGGGACAGTGTTCATCATTTCTGAAACGATTTGTACAACTACCCACAGGCATTCGCTGGTTAGAACACATCTACCCAAGAGAAGGTTTTTTAAAATTCATCACTTTAAAACCCTACCTGACATCTAATAACTGCAATTTACATAGTCACCCACTCATCTTTTTAAAACACATATTTTTGTTCTTGCTGTGGAACAAAGTTGCATGTTTTTGGACTTGCCTAAAATTTGACTTGGGCTTGGCATTGCTTTGAACCTAACAGGGGAAAGCTCTTGGCATTGCTGTCACCATGACCATAGAATGACTGTCCTTCTTCTTCCTTCCCGATAAGATTAATAGCATGTCCTCCATTCCCTGTGTAATTTCAATCCCTGAGGTACCTTCGGCCTTTCCTTCAAGTTGGCTATACAAAGGCATTTGTTGTATATCTACCTCTGGCTCCTTCAGCAGCTTAGACGTGAAAAATGAAGCTCCTATCCAGTACTAATGTGACACCCAAACCTAAGGAGAATGGGTTTGTGTTATTTGAGAAAACAAAAGACACGCAGAAAATCCTACCACTAGAACACACAGTGGTATCAAGAAGTCACTTGTGAATTCTAAATTACATCCAAATGGAAACTAACCATGAGTTCTTTTTAAGTCAGTATTAAGATTTTGCTTTTGCTTGTCATGTAGAATAGCCTACTCAAATTTTTGGTTTTAATTTCTGTCAATTCCATAATCATTGCATGAGCATTCACCATCACTGAATGCTGGTGCTGGCGCTCCTAATTTTCCTTTCTTTTTTATTAGTTATTATTTCTAACTTTTTTGTTTTGTTTTTAACTTGCAGTGCAAGCTTCACATAAAGCCTGGCAAGCCAAGGATGTTCCCGCATTCACCTGCTTTTGCAGTAATATTGTATTTCTGCCATGTGTGTTCCTTAGTTTTATTTTATTTTATTTTTTACCCTTCCTCAAACACCAATAACTATTAACTCATCTTGCTGAATGTTGTGGGGTAGTGGCCAATGATAGAACAAGGGAATAACAGCAGAAGCTCTGTGCAGCTGGACTTTGTTTCTGGAGAGTCAGTGACCTGCTTGTTAGTGTTCCGAATGGCGGCACGAAGCAGCCTGTTACTTGTGTGTGGCTCTGGACTGAGGAGCGTGGGGCCCAGTGCTGCCTGTACGGCTGACATGAAACCTTCTCACCGCCTCTGCAGCTCAACTAAAAGCCTGAATGGCCGTGACAGCAGCTTGTGTTTTCTTGAGTATTCATCTCCATGATTGCACAGTCCCTGAATCACTGTCTTGCCTCCACGCTTGCCCTGAGCCCAGGCATATCTGTATGCAGGCAGAACGATGGGTAAGCATTACACATGACTTGTGTATTTGCAAATGATGTTTCTGTTTTAGTCAATGATACTATTTGACCTGAGCTCGCAGGTCTGTTCAGACTGGCTCATGATTTGAAACCACACCTGAATGCCCGTCTTCAAACCCTGGCCAAGTGGGAAGTAGACTGTGCATAGGAAAACTGTGGTCGTGTTCACGTGTATTGGTGCATCCTTCATCCACTCACAGATAACGATCTGAAAGCTTAGTCTTCTACTAAGGATGATGGGCTTTCTATAGCCCACTTACTACTTACAGTAAGGAACCTTCTACAAATACACCTAAACTTGCTCTCAGGGGGCTTAGGGCAAGAACATAATAACTGATTCCAGGATACTGGTACTTCTAATCACATTTTTCACTCACCGTGAAGAGAAAATTTCCAAAAATAATTCACAAAGAAAATGGGCTTTAAACTCCACGGCAGCACAAATTTGAAGGGAGCTTGTCAGTTTAAGGGGGGAATGGGAAAGAACACAACATACCCATGAGTCAAGAAGTAGACATTTAACTTCCCAACAAGCGTTCCTATGTAGTCACCTGCTAATATTTGGCAATAAAAGGAAGAAGAAATTGAATGGCTGGAGTTTCAAATCCAGTTGTCCTGGAGGAATGTTCCTGATCTGACTAACTCTGCCTGCTCTGGGTATCCAAGGCCATCACCTCATCAAGAATTAGGACTAGCCCTAATTAACTGAGTTTTCTTTTTTCTATTCTAACGACTTGCTCCTTTTTTAATGTAGGTAAGACTTTCTACTTCTCCTTGACCTGTAGTGGCATGAGAGTAAATAACATTTTTTTAAGATGACAGGCCAAGTAGCACTAACTCTGGCACTGCCAGTAGCCAGACCCCATTTCCCCCATCTCTGGCTACTACAAGGAGAGGATGGCCACTACTCTCATGCCACTACAGGTCAAGGAGAGGTAGAAAGTCTTACCTACAGGACATACACCCCGTGCCTACTCTCTTTCCTATGCTGTTCCTTCCTGATGCTTATCCTTCTATCTGCTTGTTTTCCCTCTTTTCCTATCAAGATCCTCCCAGCTTTCTCTCTAAATGTAGTCTCCTGTTTCCTGCTTGAAAGGATAACGTTTCTCACAAACCCTCCTCCCCTCTGCCTTTTCCTTCTGGCCTTCACTAGTTATGGGTTAAGTAAATAGGACAGAATATGCTGCACCTCCCCTGACACACACTTTAAAAAAAATAAGTCTCTGTTTGATTCCAACCAAGATTTTCTTTTCCTTCTCTTTGTCCTCCCCCATACTTAGGGGAAAGGAGTGGTCTTCCATGAACTGACTTAGGCTGAATCAGGCAAAGTAAGGAAATCAGTTTCATTGAAGCCCAAACTAGAAGCAGCAGCGATAGGGGCTACTACAGGCTTTGGAGCTCCTGGTCCAGCATTTTTGGTTTTGGTTTTTATAGTAATTCTAGTCCAGAGGTCACTGGGGACAGCCAAATCTTAACTGGCATGCTGGTTCTAATCACGGGCTGAATTTGCTGTTACGCTGTGCACCAGACAAAAGCTTGAACATTTGTGTTGTATGCTTGTTCGAACCCCTGCTTGCGCGAGCATTTTTGTGCCTTGTAACAGAAAGTACACCTTTAAATTGTTTCTTGTATCACTAAAGCTTTTTTAAAATGAGCCTAACTACAAAAGGCATTCACCTGACTTTTTGATTCCAAGATTATTGACTGGGTTTTTTTGTATTAAAATTTTCACAGCAAAATCATATTGGAGAGACAAAATGAAAAATCAAGAGAAACACATAGAGGCTTTTTAAGATGCGTTGCTTTGAACTTCTTTCTACCACTGCTCCCAGCCCTGTTTAGTTTGTTATCGCTGCTTTTCTTTTTTCTTTCTGTATCTATACCTTTTTTCACAGTAGTCCTTGGCTCTGCACGGAGTAAATGATACCCTCAAATCTAATTGGATGTGCTTTCGCCTTTGCATGTAAGTACAGTAGTAAGAAACCTTTGAGATCTTTCTGACTTCTTAAAATTAGAGAAAACAAATGCGATGGATGAATGTTTTTTCTTTTGGAGGGGGGTAGGGAGGTAACGGTTTGAGTGGCCTTTATTTAAAAGAAACCGAAGTACATTTAAAATGGTCATGTTTATATTTTCTCAAGAACCACATACATTCAATTTCTTGATCTCAATGTGGAAGCCAGAAATTACTGATCCCTGCCTGTATTCTGCACAATGTCATGGGCATCACTGGACATGTCAGAGGGGCCTTGATTCTGGCACTATAAATGAAGCTAGAACAAGAAACTACCCTTCCACTGTAGAAAATCAAGAGTTTCAAAAGTTTTATGCCGGGGTGCCTTTATGACCACTTGCTTTTTTATCTTAGGGTAATGGTTTCTCTGGTGCTAACTGCTGACAGTGGTCACCTCTTTCTGGGGGGGTGGGAGGAGGTGTTAGATAACTGTACTTGGCCTCCCACATCTTTTATTCAAACATAATGGCCATCTTTGGACACCCAGAATAGTTATGTGTGCCATAGGATGTCATGAAAAAGCATTTAGGAGAATTTAGTGGTAGTTCACACTAGGTTTTCCACATTGAGGTTTTTTTATTAGCTGGCCAAGGTTTTTCCAAAAAGGGTATCCCGACAAGGAGCATTATTTGATGTAACACTGGGCATGTTCATTATCTTTCTCTGCTTTGTAACTCCCCAGCAGGAACGCTTCCTCTCTGCACCTCTCGTGTGCTTCAGACGAACAGACTGGGTTCCTTGCTTTCTTGACATGTCCATAGCTGCTCCACATACATACACCATCAATCAGGTCTTTCAGCTGTTCCTGACCCATGCCATCCTGTCTCTGTGTGGCCCCCAAGGCTGTCCATTCAGATCCCTTTGCTTTGCTGTTTGCAAGTGTCTGGAATTGTGAGTCTCAGCTCCCACAAGTCCTGCTGGCACTGACGGAGCACATAGGTGATGATGCTTTAGAGGAAATTAGGACCTGTGAAGTCTAGTTTGTATGTAGGTGTGAAGGGAATTTTTTACATAAATTGAAAATTAAGCTGTGAACAGCATTAGAACTTTGTTTATTTCTGAATTTTAAAATATGCAGATATGCCTTAAACTGTAGTTGTAGATCCTTGTCATTTTGCTGTTTGAAAATAACCGATGTGTTTTCTAAAACTGTTGTGTAACCTTTCAGTGTTAATGCAGAATTGTCATATTTGTAAGCTGCATGTTAGACATTTGTCTTTTTTAAAAACTAAAATAATTGTATTGATGTGAAGCATATCATTTTTCAAATATGAAAGTGATCACTTAGCAACTTGCTTGGTAATTTGGTGTCTGTTAAGACGGGAGTGTGGTGGACAGGTAATCTATGCATAGATCACTAGAGTGCCAAGGCATAAAGCGGGGAAAATATATTTTTACCCAAACCTTGTTCTGTGTGCCCTTTCTTGTGAGTTCTTTTTAGTTGCTGCTTGACTCGTATATGTATACGTGCTTATGATATTGGATAAAAATGTAGGGATGACAGAGTCTCGCGCTTCCTTGCCTTGTGTGGTAAATTGAAATGCTGCCGTGTGGGCTGCCCCAGCTCCTCCAAGATTCTTGCCACGTGGTGTCCCGCACTTCACATGCCATCTCCACTGCCCCTGCTCCCCGTCCCTGTCCGCCCTGCCAACCCATATGCTTGGAGCCCAGCTGAGGTGTCCTCGTCCTCCCTGACCTGTGGGGTCAGTGCCCCTTTCACCCAACTCTCCAGCCGGGCTTCAGGAAATCATCCCTGTAACTGGCACCCTGCTGTTCTTTCACAGCTTGTTGTAGAGCTCCTTTTTTTTTCTTTTTCTTTTTTTAAGCCTCTGAAAATCAGATTGGAACCTGACCCTTTCTTTTTTCTCTTCTGTAGCTTCTTCTTTATGTAGCCATCCTGTTGACAAGCCCTACTCTCTCCTAATGGACATAGAGCATTAGAAGAGCAGGAGCTGTCTGTTCACGTGTTGGGGAAGAGTTACCTCATTTCACCATCGCTTCCTGGTCTTTTAAAGTCTGGGTCAAATATTGCACTGCTGTGTGTATATGTCAATGTCTGTCTACAAACCACTGCCCATAGTGGTTCCTGAAGTGACTTGTCACTCCCCTCAAATAGTAATACGTAATAATATTAATGAAAGGAAAAAGAAAATTGAGTGAAACAGAGAACGTGGGCCAAGACCCAAGGTCTTGTGCTGGGACCCTCTTGCTTAGCTGCCATGTTCTTGAAGCTGCTGACCCAAGAACTCACGGACTGAAGACAGCAGGTCCCCTAACCTGAGTGGCCACCACGTGGGGCCCACAGACTTGATCTCATGGTAACTCCCATCTTTTCTGTCCCATGAGCAACATTCTCAACCGATCAGGAGCCTCAACCATCATCAGGTCATCAGTTCTGGGCATCGTTTTCCTTTGTTAGTTTTGCGGGTTGTTTTGGTGTTTGGGGTTTTTTTGTTTTTTTAACATTTGATACTGCATGAACAGAGATGGCTGCAATTTTTTTCCTTGGAGTGTCCTATTGATACAGTGTTTTTATTTTTCAGCTGACCATCTGCCTCTTGAGAGAGAGAAGTGGGCATCCTTCCTTTAAATTCAGGAACTGTTGTTTTATTTGACTCTTTTTCTGTTACCTGTATTTGTTGTTTTGGGTTTGGGAATCTGGTTTTTTTTGTCGGGGGGAGCCCAGTTCTGATTTTTTGTTTTGTTTTTTGGTATTGGTTATTCAGCTTGCTTTTGTTATCAAAATTATGCCAAGTTTAAACTCACTTCAAGGGGAAATTTAAGTGAAGTTTAATTCACAAAAAATCTGTTTAATATGCTCTCCTCATCTTCAATACAACCAGAAAATTCCCTTTTTTGTTACTGGGGTTTTGACCTACAAGTCAAATGTTTCAAATGTGCTGGTTGTTGGGTAGATGACTTTTCTGCCTCTGGGGCTCGATTTATATTTAAAGATACCTTAAAATAACTTACTGGTCCATCCTTGCCTTTTTATTGATTGTGAAACTCTTTACCTCGTGTCCACAGGTTTTTTACCAGGACCCACATGTCTTGGACCATAGGAAATGAACACCCAATGGGCACATATCCAAATAGCATCATTAACAATGGTTTTAATTCACACCGTCTTCTCAGTAACCCTGGTGGATTTCTCCATAATATCTGCAAAAAACTCACTGGGAATCATACAGTTCAGCCTGGATCACTTACGATACACATGCATATCCAAACACATGCTTCTGCCAATTGGTTTCTAATGCTGGCCTGTTTGTGATGAGTCGGATTCAAGGTGAGATTACTTTATTCCCCAGTCAGGTCTTGGGAGCAGTTCACAGTCAAGGGACAGTTTCCACATTCACATCCATTGTACAGCACGGACATGCATTTTCAGCTACCTTTCAGTTTCATGACTTGTCTATAGAGTTGTCTATTTGCATCTTCATTTCTCAGCCCCTTAGTAGGCAGATCATAAAAAGACTATTGGTAGCACGAATTGCACTTGGTCAGATCTTCAGGCCGCTCCTCTCTCAGGATGATAGCACACGTTTCCTGTGGTTAGTGAAATAAAGCAACTGTCCCTGCTTCCAGAATAATTTGATTCCTGGAAAGAGATTATAGCAATTGGATGCACAAGCTGGCAAGCAGTTTCCTTTACTTAGGAATAAATTTATTAAAAGTAATATTAAATAATGACTGTCAATGAAAAGTAATCATTCCTTTAATGATAGTTTCTAAGTAAAGATTGCTCCTTGCCAGTCTGTTCTACTTACATGGTAAATCCCCACTTGTATGTCACAACTCTAAAATTTTTAAAAAACTGGCCGGGCATGGTAGCTCATGCCTATCCCAGCACTTTGGGAGGCTGAGGTGAGAGGATTGATTGAGCCCATGGGTTCAAGACCAGCCTGGGCAGCTTGGCAAGACCTCATCTCTACAATAAATCAAAAAGTTAGCCGGGTGTGGTGGCACATGCCTGTAGTTCCAGCTACTTGGAAGACTGGAGCTGAAGGTTCACCTGAGCCCAGCAGGTTGAGGCTGCAGTGGTCGTGAGCATGCCACTGCACTCTAGCCTAGGTGACAGAGTGAGACTCCAACTCAAAAAAACAAAAAACTGTCAACACCTTGTTCTTGAACTTGCTCCAGAACTGTGAGCAAATAAATTTGGGCTGTTGAAGCCATCCAGTCTGTGGTGTTCTGTTATGGTAATCCTAGACTAATACGGTATTAGTAATTAGTCGACAAATAACGTAACAATTTGGCTTAAATAAGTAAAGTCAGAGTCACTTGAGCCATCAAATGAGTTGAAAGCCAGCCCCTTCATCGTACACTATAATCTGTAAGGACAGAAATCTAGGGATGTGACCAGCGAAGGTGGGGGCAAAGAGGAATACCAACTCCTTAACTGGTGCCAGAGCGTGACATGATCCATTTTGCAAGTTAAACATGTAGGTCTAGCCAGGCTTGCTGGCTCAGCCTGTAATCCCACGCCTTGGGAGGCTGAGGGGAGTGGATTGCCTGAGCCCGCGGGTTCGAGACCTGCCTGGGCAACTTGGCGAGACCTCATTTCTACAATACATCAAAAAATCAGCCGGGCGTGGTAGCGCGCGCCTGTAGTTCCAGCTCCTTGGAAGGCTGAGGTGGATTGCCGGAGCCTAGCAGGTCGAGGCTGCGGTGGCCGGGAGCAGCCACTGCACTCCTGTCTGGGCGACACAGTGAGACTCCAACTCAAAAAATAAAAATAAACATGTAGGTCTTACCATATGAGACCACTTTATTCTTAAACTCCTTATCTTTAACATTTTAAAAACTTTATTTGAAAAAACCTTCTATATCATGTAAAAATATTTTTGAGCAATATTTAAAAATCAAATTAGGCAGTATTTTTTAAATATGTGATATGTTGTTGCTATTCTGTGCCCCTTTTTTTGTTCTAGCCCCCAGGTTAAAGGAAGAGTAATGGTCATCATCTTCATAGGAGGGGCTGGGGGAACAGAGGTTTAAGTAGGTTAGCCTAGGGAAGTGCCTTGCCATCTCTCATGAGATAGACTACCATTCGTTTGGTATCTTACCTCAGGTGGCTCTTTTTCTCGTGTTGATAAAACTGATAGATTCTTCCAAGTTCTTCTGGCTGACCAGCTAAGGGATGGGAAACTGTCCCCGGAATAATCATCAGCAATAAGAAGTTATTGGCTTAATCTCAAACTGCACTATGGAAAAGAAGTATTGAGTCATCTGGACCTATTTTCACTGGTGGTAGGCTTTTTCATTCAATCTTTTTTTTTTTTTTTCTTGAATCGGCATCTCACTCCTGCCCAGGCTAGAGTGAAGTGACATGCTTATGGACCTGCAGCCCCGACCTGCTGGGCTCAGGTAGCTGGAACTATAGGAGCTTGCCACACCCAGCTGATTTTTTGATTTATCGTAGAGATGAGATCTCCCCAAGTTGCCCAGGCTGGTCTCAAGCCCCTGGGCTCAGGCAATCCTCTTGACTCGGCCAGTGCTGGGATTACAGGCTTGAGCCACCATGCCCAGCCTTCGTTCAATCTTAAAAAAAAAAATTGCTTGGCTTCAGATACAGACTCTGCCTTCTTAAACAAATGTAGTCTATGCCGGGTACAGTGGCGCACGCCTGTAATCTCAACACTTTAGGAGGTGGAGGTGAGAGGATTGTCTGAGCTCAGGGGTTCCAGCTAGCTACTTGGAAGGCTGAAGTGGAAGGATGGCCTGAGCCCTGCAGGTCAAGGCTGTGGTGGCCATGAGTGTGTCCCTGGGCAACAGGGTGAGACTCCGACTCAAAAAACAAAGTGTAGTCTAGATGTTCTACTTGAGATTAGCACAGCACATGCATACACGAGATACAGTTTTCTGAATCAGTATGCGCCGAGCTGGGACAGCTGTGCTAAGTCCTCATCCCAGTGCTCTTGGCCAAACCTCCTCATCAGCATTAGCAAATGAAAGTTCCTGCTGATTTTAATTGCGCTTTTTGTCTACCATTGGCCCAGCTTATGGCTAAACAGTTCTAGATGTCTGGAAAACTAAGTGCCTAATTGTGGTTGTAGTTAGACAACCTTTCCACCTGGCTCACTTTCAAGATCCTTGTGCTTGCATTCTGAAAACTGTGACATCTAGTCCTCGTGAAGTATGCCAAGCAGGTGAAGGGGACTGCATGTGTTAACTTGAGAAGACTAGTTGTGAGCCCAGGTGTCCACTCAGCTTCCTTTCCAACCTTGCTATTCCTGACTATAAATGAGATCTTTTGGTTGTAAGTGGAACATCACCTGAGGTACAAAAGATTTCACATCTGCCTCAAGTCAAATGATTTGCAGGGCCATGAGGTGAACAGTCCACTGTAGAAACTTTCTTCCAGAGTTATGGCACCTAGATTAGAGGAGGCAGAGGTATTAAAACAAGGTTAGACCCTGTCCCTCAAAAGAACACGCGTGTTTGTGTGTGTGTGTGTGTGTGTGTTGGGGGTGGGGCAGAATACCATTCCATAAAGAGCTGGACTTAGCTGTGCTTTCTCTGCCAATGTTTTTAGAGCTCTGCAGTTCTCACTTTCCTTGTTTCCTACATCCACTCACCCACCTCCCCCCACTCCTCCTTCCCTCTTTTAAATACATGGCCTAGCCGGCTCGGTGGCTCAGCCTGTAATCCCGTGCCTTTGGGAGCCCGCGGGTTCGAGACCCGCCTGGGCAGGTGAGACCTCATCTCTACAATAAATCAAAAAATTAACCGGGCGTGGTAGCGCACGCCTGTAATTCCGGCTACTCATAAGGCTGAGGTGGAAGGATAGCCGGAGCCCAGCAGGTAAAGGCTGCAGTGGCTGGGAACGGCCACTGCACTCCAGTCTGGGTGACAGAGTGAGACTCCAACTCAAAAATAATTAATTAATAAAATACATGGCCTACAACAGGTGCTGGGAATTTATCCACGCACTGTGAATTGCCCTTGTCCCTCTGTATACCTTTTGAACACAGCATATTTTGGGAGTAAAGGTAAACCTTTTCTATGCTAACATCTCTGCTGAAGATGCAACATATTTTGAAAAGCAAAGGGGTCTTGTTCCCCATCAGTTGCTTTTCAGTGGTGGTTTGTCTGAAGCTGCCCTTCACTGAGCATCCCACGCCTAACAAAGCAAGCTTTTTCCAAGAGCCGAGAGACCAGTCTACTGGGCCTAGGCCTACTCTGAGTGCTCTTCTACTGCCTCACAGCTGTGCAACACAAGGTCAACCGTTCTGGCATCTGAGCTGCTGTGAAGGCTGTACTTCAAGATCGGGGGTAGGGGGGGTCTCATTTCAGCCTTGACTCAGAAGCTCCTGGGAACTAAACCAGTTGTGAGCGCTTCTCAAATTTCTGTATCTGATGAGACATTCTTGGCTACCTCTTATTACATCTTTTCAACTGAAGAGTAATCAAGATAAGTACATGGGGAGTTCCATCTCTGGGCTACACATGGGTCTCACTTATTAGTGAATCATAAAAGCCACTGAACTCACTATGGTGAGGGAAAGCTTTCAATTAATTCCTTGATGCAAGCTGTGCTAAGTGTGCTTTTCCTCTTTTCTGCCCTAATAATTGGTCAAATCCAACTCAAACTGAACACAGCAAGGTTTGGGATTTAGCTGTGTTCAAGCCTTCTCAATTGTATTCCTAGGCTACTTTGTAGGATGGTACACCACACTAACTGGAATTTTTAAGACTAGTTCTGGTTTGTTTGTTTTTTTCCCTTGGTCTGAGACGTCATATCCAGCCACCATCTGCCCTTCAACCATGGCTGATGCTGCTAAAAGCTGTCTCAGTCTCACATGCACAGGCCTCCTACGCCTTACATGTGAACCCGTAACTGCAAAATGTTGACATACTGGAGTGGTAATCAGAGGAGTGTTCAACTGCCCATTAGCATGCAATAAACCCAGACAACTCAATTTCTCCTATAAATTTTAAGATGCTGTGTTCCTTTTCCAGAAGCACCATCTAGCGGCCAAAGCTTATAGCATTATTTAAGAATGGGTGTAGTGACATGTTAACATAGCTTAAAGGCTTTCAATAATTTTGGAGGCTTTACAAGTTACACATTAGAAAAAACTTCATGATGTCCAATAGAAAGGGTAAAGGTTTGAGATGAGTTAGAATTTGAACCTCTGTAAAGAAAATTCTTAGCTATGTGGCACTGGGCAACCCTCTAATCCTCAATTTGCTCATGTAAACTGGGGGTGCATATCTCGCAGGATGACTGAAAACGCTGGTACAGTGTCTTCCCTTCCCAGCTAAAAATGTACCAACCGTCTTAGGGATGAAGGTAAGTGCCCACCGTGCTGGCTGAGCAGCAGCAACGCAGCCACCTCTCAGGTGAAAAGGTCGCTGTGCTGCTCAGGCTCAGCTGGCCTTCCTGCTTCAGGAAACCGAGATGAGTGCATTAGGAAGTTTAGAACTCAGGTGTGTAAAGAGAACAGCAGACACACAGAAGTGCTTAGCTTGAATAACACAAGAGGAAATGAACAGCACTTCTCAGGCCAGGGCAGTGTCAGGAATACTTCTAACAGATGGGTCCACCTGACCCTCAACTCTCCCTTCCCCCGCCCACCACACTAGTATGAGACATCGTCTGCCTGCAGAGAAAACATTCAGTTCTCAATAACTTACTTCATACCATCCTTACAGAGAATGAAGTAAATGTCTAGCTTCTAGCCTGATCTGCTGGGGCTGGAACATGTTCTTTAGTTTTTTTTCTGTTGGAGAATTCAAGTGTGAGTACTATGTCCATCAAGTATACCTTTCCAGAGGCTTCATAGGATGACGGTGTTTTTTAGCCACCAGGAGGCACCAGAAAATTATGATACATAAAGCTCAAGTTTCCAAATCTTCGGAGTTTCTGATACAGTGCCAAAATTTAACATAAGTAACTTGGGACAGGCAGTGACTAGTTTCAGGTAAAAAGGGAACTAAACAGCAGGGCCATTTTTGATGAAAAGTTCCACAGTTTAGGAATATAGCAGCTGGGCACAGTGGCTCATGCCTATAATCCTAGCATTTTGGGAAGCTAAAGCAGGATTGCTTGAATCCAGGAGTTTAAGACCAGCCAGGGCAATACAGTGAGACCTCATCTCTACAGAAAAATAAAAAAATTAGCCGGGCATGGTGGTATGTGCCGATAGTCCCAACTATTCAGGATGCTGAGAGAGGTTCACCTGAGCCCAGGTCAAGGCTATGGTGAGCCATGACCATGCCACCACACTCCAGCCTTGGTGACGGTGAGACCCTGACTCAGAAATAAATATATATATATAGTGCAATTTCTGTCTCAAGGCAGAATTCTCCAAAAGCCCCATAATAGGTAATGAGGAAGGAGGCTCAGGCCTCTGAAAGGGTGCCCAGGAGGATCAGAGCTTCAAAAATACCACAACTGAATTCAACCACGGGTTAGATAAGCTTTGAAGTGTGAGAGCTATCAACCCAAACATCCCACTTGTTCCAAACTGATTCGCCAGCAATTTTTAAAAACAGAAAACTTTTAAGACCTAACAATGCAAATCCTCTTGTCCTCCAACTTCTGTTCAATTTGCAGCTGCTGAACTATATATGAAATATTGACCCTAGACGCGATTTTATCCCTTTTCCTATATAACAAAACTGTGTCCTCATTTGTTAAAATGGAGGAAGAGGAGAACTAAGTACCACTCATCTTACTATGAACATACACTGTTGTGCACCTCCTAGAGCACCCACAATTTAGAATTAAGAAACAGAGCCAGACAGGCCACAATGGCTCATGCCTATAATCCCAGCACTTTGGGAGGCCAAGGTGAGAGGAGTGCCTGAAACCATGGGTTCGAGACCAGCCCGGGCACTTTGAGGAGACCTCATCTCTAGAAAAAAGAAAAAAAAAAGAAAATCAGGTACGGTGGCTCAACCTGTAATCCCAGCACTTTGGGAGGCCAAGACAAGAGGACTGCCTGAGCCTGAGAGTTCAAGACCAGCCTGAGCAACTCAGTGAGACCTCATCTCTACAGTAAGTCACAAAAACTAGCCAGGCATGGTGGGGTGTCTGTAGTTCCAGCTAGACGGATCGCCTAAGCCCCGCAGCTGGAGGCTGTGGTGGCCATCAGTGTGCCATTGCACTCCTGCCTGGGCGACAAGAGTGAGACTCCAACTCAAAAAAAAAAAAGCCAGGTGAATGTCAGGATGGTTATCTTTATGTCTGTGAAGCCAATCCTTTGTCTTCACATTAAATAGTTCATTTAGACCTACCCTCCCACTCCCTGTACTTACATGAGTAAATGCTCCCCTTTCAACTGGATTGTAAGGTCATGAAAAAGTTAAACTACCACAAGAATTTCCAAAGTCAGATGTTAGCTGAAAACTTGGGGGGGAGACCAGTGGATAAAAATGACATGTTATCTAGATACAGTTCTGGGCCTGTTCTTACCCCCAAGATGAGAATTTTCTGTGTGGAAGATCCACAGTCTACTAGTAAGAAAACACCATACAAGAAAAATTCTTGTCTAAAGCCTGCAGCATATAACCTTCAACCACATGCAAATCTCCTTTTCTTCAGGTTTCATTTCTGGTAAGCATATCAGAACTTCTTGTTTTCTTTAGTTGAAATAGCGCCTAACCAGTCAGGAACCTGCATCTCTTCACAAGCAGAAAAAAGATACAGATACAAAGGTAAAGAACAACTTTTTTTATTGCTACCAGAGGCTTTTATCATCAGTACATGGTTCTGACTGCAGTACCTTTTTCAGACTGCAAAGGGAGCTCAGGATCCAGAAGTCATTAAAAGAAATATAGGCAGGCTGAGGAGGCAGGGGGTATGACTTCTATCAAGAAAATTCTAATAGCTTAACATAAATCTAGGGTGTTGAATTCAGTTAAAACAGGTGACAGACTCAAATCATACGAGCTGCCCCACTGTCTAGACAGTCTCCTACTGATTATACATGAGTGAAAACTGATCAGTTACCAAAAAAGAAAATCTAATTTTAGTTGTTACATATGTTTCTTTGGTGAGCACCTGGATATATTAACTTTATCACAAATTCTTTTTTACAAATGTCAGAAATGATTTCAACAAATCTAAGAGTGTCCTAAACATGCCACTTTTAAGCTTCAATTTAAGATAAGCAAAAATAAAAACAGTAGTTTTAAAATACAGAATGTGAAATGAGACAAACACAAAAATCAACACGGTAATGTGAGAACTTTTTCTATTACTGCCTCTAATTCATTTGGGACAATTCCAAAGTTTCCTTTACAGACTAACTGGAATTTTAGTTATGGATTAAACATGGCTAACACACTGATATAGCTTGTTCATTAAATTGCTAAAAAAGAATTTGGGGGTTTCTTATTCAGTGAAAGTCAGAGTATAGATCAACATGCATAAAATTCATTAAGTATTAAATGGAGAAGCAAGCAAAAGCAACAGGAAAATAAGTCAGGATTCTGGGGACAGGTTTGCTAGCTATGAATTCTGAATTTAAAAAAACTGAATTTTTGACACGGGGCAAACTACATTACATCTTAGCAGAAGAGTGCAACTGACATACTACAAAGAAATTTTTTGTTTTAAAGAAAATTTTGGATCTTTTGGACTTTCAACTTTTTTTTTTTTTTTTTGGTCTTTTAAGCACTTAAATGATGTTGAATTATAATTAGTCGCCTAAGTAAATGAGGGTTTTTTTTCTGGCTCACTTCAGATCAGCCTGAAAAGGTACCTATCCTTCTATAGCCCTTCCTGGTTTTTTACCTGTTATTCTCAGAGTAGTCTATCTTAGCTTGCACCTGAAGGTAACTCTTGTTGACACTACATGACAGAAACAGGCTGCAAGGGTGGACAAGGGGAGGCATGTCCCTCTTGTCTTGACAAATCGGTGCCACACACAGAACCCACATTTTCTGAAGCATTCTCTTCATTATACAGCCGCTTGATTCCATCGTAGAAGTCATCTACCTCCATTTCCTCTACTTTGCGTTTAGTAGAGGCATACTTGCACCCGCTGGCAGCTGGGAGATGATGGCAGAAAGCTGCTGTACCTCTGACTGGCACTTCTGGCTTGCTGTTGTCCTTGGAGAAATCTGGGCCTGGTACAGAGGAGGGATGTGATCTGAACACTCCTTTGTCCCAGGTCACCAGAGTGTGCTTGAGGGGACGGTAGACATAAACGGAGTTTAGAGGCAGGGCAGACTGCAGAGTAGAAAGGTGATGTGCCACAAGCTCCCGACAGTGGATCAACTGGGAGCTATCCATCTGGACCAGGAAAAACAAACACCACAAAGGCTATCACTGATCAATACAGGCTGCTCTGTCAGCTCTGCTTCCCCATGCCCTGTATCCCCTCAGTCTTCTTTACTCATCCCACATCTCCTCCCTCAAACTCATCCGTTTCTCCAGCCTACCCATCGTCTTCTTAGAGAGCATGTCCCAATCTGTATTTCTAATACAAATCTCTTTGCAACTTGAATTTATTTGCAATTGTATCCTACACATTTACATGAGAACAGAAACTACTCTTTTGTTCACTGCTATCTGCCCAATGTCTGATTTCTTCCCCCAGTCTATTTCCCATTTAGAAGGCCCTTCATTTCTTCTAATTTTTTCAGTGGAGACAATAGTACAGATAAACACATTTATTAAGAATGTAAGAAGGTCGGCTCGGTGGCTCAGCCTGTAATACCAGCACTTTGGAGGGCCGAGGTGAGTGGACTGCCTGAGTGCATGGGTTCAAGACCAGCCCAGGCAACTTGGTGAGACCTCATCACTACAATAAATCAAAAATTAGCCAGGCACAGTAGTGCGTGCCTGTAGTTCCGGCTACTTGGAAGGCTGAGGCAGAGGGACCACCAGAGCCTAGCAAGTCACTGCTGAGGTGGCTGTGAGTGTGCCACTGCACTCCAGCCTGGACAACGGAGTGAGACTCCAACTCAAAAAAAAAGAATGAAGGAAGAAGCCAGGGGGCAAGAAGAAAAAAATTGTAATCAGGGATGGGGAGGAAGGCTGTCTAGCAAAGAGTTTATAACAAATTATGTATTTTTTTTTTAAAACAGTAAATGAGAACTTTAGACAAGTTATATTTTTATAAAACAGTAAATAACACTAGGAAGAAATGGTTTTGTTAATGTCTTCGCTTAATTTGCAAATTCTGTTAAATCTTTCTTATCCTTAAGGACAGTTCAGGTATTGGTCCTTTCTGGAATTTCCCAGACACTCCCAATCCCTTAAACACCCCAAATGCTGTTCTGTATCAACCTGTTGACATATCTACCATATCTTATTAGAATAACTTATTTAACCATTTAGCCTTTCCATTATAAACTACAAGATCCAAGGTGCAGGCATTCAACTCTCTATCCCTAAAGTTTCTAGCACAAAGCCTGCACATAGAAGGCCTTCAAAACTGTGTCTGTAGTGAAGCATCTCTGCTTACTTTCCCCGTAATCAATCACAACACTGCCAACATAATCTTCTGTAGCAACAGATATTCCTATCCATGTCGCCTCAGCAGCATGCCGGTGCGAGTAGTAGTCTCACTCTGTCCTCTGTCACCCAGGCTGGGGTGCAGTGCCACACTCACAGTCAACTCAGCATCAACCTGCTGTGCTCCGGCAACCCTTTCCCCTCAGCCTTCCAAGTAGCTGGAACTACAGGCATGTGCTACCAACCCCGGCTAATTTTTGATATATTGTAGAGGTGAGTTGCCTGGGTTGGTCTCAAACCCACAGGCTCAGGCAATCCACTCGCCTCAGCCTCCCAAAGTGCTAGGATTATAAGCTGAGCCACGGAGCCTGGCCTGAGTTTAGTATTAATAAGGCTCTCCACAATCTGATCCCGACCTTCTTTTCCAGACATATTTCTTAGCATCCTTCGAATTTGTGCTCTACATTCCTGCTATACAGGCCTTTCTGTTATGCACAAATCTTCCCCTTTCTTACTTTACGAACGCTCATACTATTTCTACTTATTTAAATTGTAATTACCTATTCCCTCCAGGCCTGACTAAACACCATCACCTACAGGAAGCCTATTTTTGACCATTAAACTCTCAAGGAGCCGGGCTCGGTGGCTCAGCCTATAATCCCGTGCTTTTGGGAAGCTGAGGTGAGTGGATTGCCCGAGCCCGCGGATTCGAGACCGGCCTGGGCAGCGAGACTTCATCTCCACAATAAATCAAAAAATCAGCCGGGCATGGTAGCACATGCCTGTAATTCCGGCTACTCGGAAGGCTGAGGCGGAAGGATTGTCGGAGCTGCGGTGGCTGTGAGTGTGCCACTGCACTCCAGTCTGGGCAACAGAGTGAGACTCCAACACACACACACACACACACACACACACACACACACCATAAACTCTCAAGGATCATTTTTTCCCAGTTTTGCATATTTTTATAGGTATTTTGGATATTTCAGGACCAAGTCCTAGTCATCCACATATAACCTGCAGCACACAGCATGAGTATTTGCAATACCACAGAGAAAATAAAGAACATACTCTACAAGCACACATTTGGTTACAAAGTTTTTTTGAGTTGGACTCTCACTCTTGTCACCCAGACTGGAGTGCAGCAGCACACTCAGCCACCGCAGCCTCCACTTGCTGGACTTAGGCGATCCTTCCACCTCAGCCTTCCAAGTAACTGGAACTATAGATGCATGCCACCACATCCGACTAACTTTTGTGATTTAATGTAGAGACGAGGTCTCACCAAGTTGCCCAGGCTGGTCTCAAACCCATGGGCTCAGGCAATCCTCTCACCTTGGCCTCCCAAAGTACTGGGATTACAGGCTGAGCCACTGTGCCTGGCCAACAAAGTTATTTTTATCTCTAAGTATATTCATTATTTTTAGAAAAGTATCTGGGAATAAAGAAGAAAGGCTGATGTCATCCTATAATACAAAAGTAAAAATAACTGAAATTGTCAGAAATATACATGAAAATGGCAGATTTTAACACCTAATGTTTTGATCACTGATTTTTTTTTTTTTCCTAGCTTGAAAAGTGCTCGATAACACATTATGGGTAACACACTATTAACTACTATTAGACTTTTTCCCTCTCTTAAAAAGAAAAAATGCATAATCCTTAACATAGTCCCTCAACTATCAAGCTTATATTTAGGCTAGGTCTTGTCACATGACCCAGGGATGTAAAACAAGCTGAATCATGCTGAAAACAGTAGAACACAACAGCACAGAGAAGGGATGAAGCTTCTGCCAATACTTCAAGAAGCTTACAAAAGGGAGGGACTAGAAATTTTTAAAAAAATCTGGGAAGGGAAAATAGGCTGAAGTGTAGAAATTATTTCTAAATAGTAATTACAGTCATCCTTTGTTATGTGTGGAAGGCTGGTTTTAGGACCCCCCCCAGATAACAAAATCCAAAGATGCTTAAGTTCCTGATATAAAATGGCATAGTATTGGCATATAATCCATGCACATCATCCCGCATACTTGACATCATCTCTGTATTACTTATAATCTCTAATAGAATGCCTAACATCACTTTATTTATGTGGATTCAATGTAGTACATGGCACATGACAAATTCGAGTTTTGATTTTTGGAACACTGTGGAATTTTTTCCCAAATATTTTCAATATACGGTTGAATCCATAGATGTGGAACCCACAAATATGGAGGGCCAACTGTATCTAGTTTAATGAACTATTCTTTAGCAAATGACTAATAGTGGCCTAAAAAAGTAAAAGCTCCACAAATATTCTAATGCCTTGGTCACTAGGCATAAATACATACCATGGCAGAATCCTGAAAAAAGACATGTATTTAAGTAAAAGGAAAATTACTTATGTCACTATAATCTTTCTGTGCGAAAAACTAAGTAAATAGGGAGTTGTATTTTAGAGGTGGAAGACTGGCAAAAAAAGATAGTGCTAGAAAGAACACTGAAAATTATTCAAACCAAAATCATCTATATAAACTTCACTTATACCCAAATCCTAAGTTGTTTGTCCAAAATAAAGCATCAAAATACATTCCCTCCTCTAGTACAATCTGAATTTGTCCTTAAAAAAAAAAAGAGAACACCAAAATAATCTGATCCTTGTTAAGAATCAGTGGAGGAAACAAAACAAGCATACACACACACACACACACACACAAACTGGAATTGGAATTACAATTTAAAACTCCAGACACAAGTCAGTCTTCTAATTAAAAGGATTTAAAATAAACTCTAATTACAGAGTGTCAAAAGAAAACTGATTGCTATTTTTCATAACAATACTGACAAAAGTGATAGGCCCAGAAGGATCCAGGTTTGGTGAACTCACAGAGCACTGAGGAGGACACCTGCCCGAGTAATCTGACCTTAGTGACTTTCAAGGAGATTCTGGTGGGGAGGGTCTGCTTCTTTAACTCCCCTCTAGTTTTTTTTTTTCTTCTTCTTCCTTTTTTTTGATTTGGAGTCCCATTCTGTCGCCCAGGGTGGAGTGCAGTGGCACACTCACGGCCACCACAGCCCCGACCTGCTGGGCTCAGGGGATTCTTCCACCTCACAGCCTTCCAAGTAGCTCGAACGACAGGCAGACGCCACCACATCTGGCTAATTTTTTTATTTATTGTAGAGATGAGGTCTTGCCAAGTTGCCCAGGCTGGTCTTGAACCTGTGGGCTAAGGCAATCCTCTCACCTCAGCCTCCCCAAGTGCTGGGATTATAGGTGTGAGCCACCACGCCCGGCTACTCCCCTTTAATTTTAAACTAGGACATCATTTTTTACTTCTGCCCAGCTAGGAACTAGGGAGATCACTACATTAACCTAGGCAGAGTTAACACCCTTAGATGATCAGGGTAGCCACATCAGTCAGAAAGGGGAGGACATGAGCAAAGCCACACAAGTGGAACAAGGGAGGAAGAAGGGGAAAAAGAGAAAGAAGCTCAGCAGTACTAGAATAGTGACCAAGAGGTGGCACAAGAGGTCAAGGAGGTGTGGGGGTGGGAGGCCAGAAGGGACAAGAGGAAGTTTGCCTTTCAAACCTGGGAAAACTGGCCATACGAAGTCTCATGTTCAGAAGAGGCACAGGCAGAGCTAGTAACAGTGGCCTCTCTCAGCATGAAATGTCTGTGTTTGACCCTGTTCAAACAAAACACTGTGAGTCGTATCCAAAGCAATTCTGGCCTTAGCTCACCAATGTGATCCAAGAATTTCCTATACTAGAACCAGAAATCCAGGAGGAGTATCTGATATTACTGTGGCCTTATCATGGATCTCATCTGAAAACTCTTAGACCTGGTATTTCCTACCCGAACACAGAAAACTTAGCAAAGACAGAACTAAGTCCTGAAGAACCAGAAGCCATCCATATTTAGGCCACACTACATAGTTTAGTCACCAGTCTAAGCTGATTTTAGAGCAGAACTGCTAGAACACGTCCCAAAGTCTCTACCAAGTTTTGTGACCTTACTTTTATTCATTATTTTCCCCATTGCAACTGAATACTACATGGGGCAGAGACCGTTAAAACACACACACACACACACACACACACAGTATTCCTAGTGTGTACCTCACAGATTTCTCAATAAATGTGTGTGTAATGTATTAATATATGTACATGAAACCAGGAGCAGTGGCTCACGCTTGTAATCCCAACACTTTGGGAGGTGGAGGCTAGAGGACTACTTGAGTCCGGGGGCTCAAGATCAGCCTGGGCAACTTACAAGACCTCCTCTTTACAAATAAAAAACAAAACAAAACTGGCTGAGCATGGTAGTGCACGCCTGTTGTTCCAGCTACTTGGAAGGCTGAAGCAAAAGGATCGCCTGTGCCTAGCAGGTCATAGCTGTGGTAGCTGGGAGCATGCTTCTGCACTCTAGCCTAGGTGACAGAGTGAGACTCCAACTCAAACAAACACAAAAAACAATTATACACACACATACACACACACAGGAGGGAGGCCAAAAAAAATGTATACACATTTTAAGAGATGTTATCTATGTATTACCTACAGAAGTTGAATTGAATTACAGTAGCAACGTGTAGTATGACATTCGTTTGTTCAACCAGGCTTCCACCATTTTCTTTGACTGACTTGCCTGTTGCATGGTGACATTACCATTCATTTGATTAACACCATCTTTTGAGTAAACGTCATACTTAAAATGTGTATTCATTTTTTTAGCACCATGTGTATGTGAGCACACGCGTGCATATACACACACACACACAGACACACAAGAGAATGGAACAGAAGTTTTCAAACTCTGTCCCAACAGCCATGGAAGGGTAAAGGCCATATTGAATAGGACTCTGCACTAAACACGTGTTACAAAGTATAGCTTCACTTTTCTACTCTACATCCTGCTATTGTGTGTGCACAAGATTTTGTTGGGGGAAGAAAGGAGAAGGGTTCCACTTTTAAAGGAAACTCTGAAAGTCACTGAGCCAGAATTCTTAAGGTTTGTGTGGTATGGAGAAAGCACTGTTTCTTTTTATCTTCTTCACTACTAAGAAATTCTAAGCCGGGCTCGGTGGCTCAGCCTGTAATCCCGCGCCTTTGGGAGGCTGAGGTGAGGGGATTGCCTGAGCCCGTGGGTTCGAGACCCGCCTGGGCAGCGAGACCTCATCTCTACAATAAATCAAAAAATCAGCCGGGCGTGGTAGCGCATGCCTGTAATTTCAGCTACTTGGAAGGCTGAGGCGGAAGGATCGCCAGAGCCCAGCAGGTCGAGGCTGCGGTGGCCAGGAATGGCCACTGCACTCCAGTCTGGGCGACAGAGACTCCAACTCAAAACAAAAAAAAAAAAGAAATTCTAAAAAGCCTCAAGTTCCCTAAACTGGAGCTATAACATAAAGGAGTTGAACAAAATGATTTCTACGAAGAATCTGTTCAATCCCAAGTTTGTAACACTCCTTTCAGTTAAGGAAAGAAAAGATTTCAGTGAACACTTTCTTCTTCCTGCATCAGAAAACTTAAATACACAATTAAAAGAACATATATCCCTTGAGAAAAAGAAACAGCCTATGTAATACTACGCAGGGATAGCGCTAACCAACAAACTGCTCCCATCATCAGTCTTTCTATGAAAAGACTCTCAGCCCTTCTCTGCTCACAAACTAGAGCCTGAAATTCCCAGAAGCAGAAAGGCAGCACTGACAAATTTGTAAAATATCTTCTCTGGTCAGGAGCAGTGGTTCACACCCATAATCCCAGTACTTAGGGAAATCGAGGTGAGAGGATTGCCTGATCCCAGGGGTTCGACACCAGCCTGGTCAAATTCGTGAGACCTCATCTCTACAATAAATCAAAAAATTAAGCAGGGTTCGGTGGCTCAGCCTATTACCCTGCACTTTGGGAGGCTGAGGTGAGTGGAATCCTGAGCCCACGGGTTCAAAACCCGCCCGGGCAACTTGGCGAGACCTCATCTCTACAATAAATCAAAAATTAGCCAGGCATGGTAGCGTGTGCCTATAGTTCCAGCTACTTGGAAGGCTGAGGCGGAAGGATCGCCAGAGCCCAGTAGGTCTGGGTGACAGTGAGAATCCAACTCAAAAAAAAAAAAAATTAGCCAAGTATGGTGGCATGTGCCTGTAGTTCCAGCGACTTGGAAGGCTGAGGCAGGAGGATCGTCTGAGCCCGGAAGACTGAGGCTGCAGTGGCCAGGAGTATGCCACTGCCCTCCAGTGTGGGTGACCAAGTGAGACTCCTACTCAAAAATAAAATTAAATTAAAATAAATAAAATGTCTGCTCTAAGATCAATTATAACTATCGTACAAAACACCAAAAGTGTTATTCTTGTTTTTCTTTTATAGCATTCTATTCAAAGTTTTAATGTTCAATAACTGCAGTCCTTTGCTACAATTATTTACTATAAAATGTTTGTAAGCCCAGAATTTAACAATCTCCTAAATAAAATTGAATGAAACAAATCAGAATAACTACTGCAAAGTCAGAATAAACAGAGCCATATAAAGGAAAAGTAGATTCCTGAGTCAGTTGGGAGAGGAGCATGGTTTGCAACAAATCTAAACTTGTTAAATTGTATTTGGGGACATAAACAGAACCAGTAAGACTTCTCACAAAGTAGTAGCTAACATATACCCCAATTCAAACTTTCCAACTGAATAAGCATTTTCTCCACCTTACATTTTACTTAGGTGGTTGGTAATTTACCAATCTATACATTTTACAACAATTTGTAGATACAACTTACGAACTAATCTCAGGCAATAATAGCACTACCAAGACAAGACCTCTTTCAGAAAGGTAGCTTTCACCTGCTGCAGTCTGGCACAGATACTTCACTTACTAGTCAACAATAACTTATTTGCAATTTATGTTTCTGTCATCTATTATAAAATGAGGGAAGAAGAGAAATACTACATGAAACCTACAGATGTAGCTAGGAGGTTTCTTTATACAAAACTAAAGAATATATTACTGAGAACCTTTTTAGTTTTTTTAAATTCTTAATCTAGAAGGGCTGAAAAGAAATTTACAAGATACTTTCTAAATTTTCTGAGAAAAAAGACATCTAAACCTGTAAATTTAAAATGTATACTTTACAGACGGGCTCGGTGGCTCAGCCTGTAATCCCGCGCTTTGGGAGGTTGAGGTGAGTGGATTGCCTGAGCCCACGGGTTCAAGACCTGCCTGGGCAACTAGGCGAGACCTCATTGCTACAATAAATCAAAAAATTAGCTGGGCGTGGTAGTGCACGCCTGTAGTTCCAGCTACTTGGAAGGCTGAGGCAGAAGGATCGCCAGAGCCCAGCAGGTCGAGGCTGTGGTGGCCGGGAGTGGCCACTGCACTCCAGTCTGGGCGACAGAGTGAGACTCCAACTCAAAAAAAATGTATACTTTACTCGTCTACTCTTAAGAGTGATTTGCCATTACAAGATGAGCAATGTCTCTTAACATGGTAACCTTATGTAGCCTAATAAAGAAAAACTTAAAATGAACACTATGTAGACTGACACCTACCTGTGCTTTCTGAAGCAGTTCAATTGTAAGAGGAAGCCAATCAGGAATCAGTTTCTCCATTTCCAAGCTAACCATGGCCAGAGCAAGCATGGATCCTTTGAATTGCAGAAGTTGGTTGCAGGCCATACAGTGAAGGAGTTGCTTGGTAAGGACTGTCAAATGTTGAGACGGGCTCAATTTGGGTAAACTGAAAAGTAACTGAGGCCTAGTTGACACTGCAATGGCATGGAACTGAAAAACCACAAGATCGTTATTTTAATTTAAGTATCTAGAAAATTATGTCTAGAAATTGATATAACCTATTCAATTTCTACATTTGCAGTTTTAGCTTCACTGATTTGACATATATCCTAATTGCAATATTTTCCTTTTCCTAAAAATCAGTACAAAATAAATGAGTGGACAAAGTAAATGTTTCAAGTTACTGAAACAGGACTACATATTCAAGTAAACTAAAACACGTCAAGTATATTTACAATGTGAAGAAAATCCAATGGTGTGGCGGTGTGAAGATCCCAATTCAACTTATCCAGAATAATTCTCTCCATTCTCAGAATTTCAGATGAGGAACATCCACAGAAGCTGTCTCTCGCCAACACCTTCAGTACTGGAATTCTCTATCCAAAGCAAAGGGGAGCAGGGACAGGGAGAAGAGGATAGAAATAAACTCATTTTCAATTTTTGTTATGGCAAACAAAAAGTAAGTTAATACATGGAAGGAAATTTTCATAAAAAGAAATAACTAATCTTGAAGGAATTTATTACCTCATCTTCCTCAACAGTCTTGGCAGCTAGGAAAAAACAGCTGATCGCAATACAACTCAAGTATTTTGGGTGGGCCTAAAATTTTGAAGCGGGAAAAAGCAACTTTAGTGATTTTTCAAAAAGGGTTAACTTTTTATGACTGTTTTTAAAATATAGATATGCAGATAAGTATGCACACAATTGTATGGGATCCAATTAATGTGACTCCCACCCATTGTTTTCTAGATCAGTGACTCCCACCCATTGTTTTCTAGATCAGAGTTAACTTATTACAACCGTAGCCACATTAGTCTATGAAAATAAGATCAAGTCCACTGCTCTAAGTTCAACCAAAGCCAGTTAGCCAAAGTTCATTTCTTTCCAATAGAGACGAGCTTGATTGTAGAAGTTTTTATTTAATAAGAAATATTCCCCAAATTAAAGATACATTTTTTCACTCTGTCACCCAGGCTGGAGTGCAGTGGTACAATCACAGCTCACCACAGCCTCAACCTCCTGGGTTCAGGTGATCCTTCGGCCTCAGCCTCTTGAGTAGCTGGGACTACAGGAATGTACCACTATAACTAATATTTTGATTTTTTGTAGAGAGGAGGTCTTGCTATGTTGCCTAGACTGGTCTCGAATTCTTGGGCTCAAGCAATCCTCTTGCCTTGGCCCCCAAAGTGCTGGGGTTACAGTTGTAAGTCACTGCACCCAGCCTGTATAAATATGTTTTTTAAGCTAGTTTCATTCTATTTAGGGAAATGAGAAAGAATATAAAAAAGATTACTAGTACACTCAAATGCTTTAAAAAATTACAGGACACTAGCAGATGACTAGAAATATTCTAATTCTTAGGTGTACACACACACACACACACACACACACTCATACGTCTATATTCAAGTTCCATAATAAGAATGAAAAGAGCCGGGCTTGGTGGCTTAGCCTATAATCCCGCGCCTTTAGGAGGATGAGGTGAGTGGATTGCCTGAGCCCACAGGTTAGAGATCCGCCTGGGCAGTGAGACCTCATCTCTACAATAAATCAAAAAATCAGCCGGGCGTGGTAGCACATGCCTGTAATTCCAGCTACTCAGAAGGCTGAGGCGGAAGGATCGCCAGAGCCCAGCAGGTCGAGGCTGTGGTGGCCGGGAGCGGCCACTGCATTCCAGTCTGGGCGACAGAGTGAGACTCCAACTACAAAAAAAAAAAAAAAAAAAAAAGAAAAGGTCCTAAATCTGTACAAAATTAATGAGGAAAAAAAAGGAGCTTTTTTGGATCTGACCCACAGGAGAACCTGAATATGCCTGTTTTCTACCTGTAATAAGGCAGGCCCACTCTGTGTGTACTGGTCAATGCAGCACCAGAATCCAGTTGTCAACAATGAACAATTCAGTCCAATTATATTGAATGATACAAAGATAATTAGACAACACAAAAAAACCCCAGTAAAACCTGTTGTAATATTTATGTTATAGTTGAATAAAATATTACATTTCCAAACTGTGGAAGACTTCTGATGACCAGAATACATCTAGATTAATTAGCTTATCATTTAACAAACATGCCATACACTGCCTCAGTGTATTTAGAGTCTAGAATCTTCCAATCCTGTCTGCATGAGAAGTTGGCTTAAAACTATCAACATTTTAATATAATTACTAATATCAATCAGAGCATGACAATTCAGAAAACACATCCATTTATTTGTATGTATCCGTTATGTCTTTAGCCTACAAATGAGATAGTCTCAGAGGTTGAGACATCACAAAGGTGATTCAGGCAGTGAAGTCAGATCTAGCTGCTAAGATAGTTTTCCAGCCTCCCTTATTTCCCCATGTGTGCAATATGTAAAACTCACATCCCTCGGGTATTGAGTTCATTGCAATACCTCCCAATCAAGAGCACTAATAATAATAAATTTAGTAATGAAAAGAATCCCAATAGCAAACACGATTTAAAAAAAAAAAAAAAAAAAAGCAAACAACAGTCCTCAACTGTGGTTGTATGTTAGCATCATCTGAGCAGTTGGTTTTTGCTGCTTTATTTATTTTTATTTTTTTGAGTTGGAGTTTCCCTCTGTCGCCCACGCTGGAGTGTAATGGCACGTTCATGGCCACCGCAGCCTTGACCTGCTGGGCTCAGGTGATCCTTCTGCCTCAGCCTTCCAAGTAGCTGGAACTACAGGCATGCACCACTACGCACAGCTAATTTTTAAATTTACTGTAGAGATGAAGTCTCACCATGTTGCCCAGACTGGGCTTGAATCCCTGGGCTCAGGCAATCCTCTCACCTCTGCCTCCCAAAGTGCTGGGATGACAGAGGTGAGCCACTGTGCTCAGCTGGCTTTTGCTTCTTTAATATAGACAACCAGATCTCACTTACTAGAGGTTCAGATTCAGTAGGTCTGGGACAGGGCTCGGTTTCTGAACTTTTAAAGAGCTTCAATTTCTTCTGCACAGATAGGACTGAGGCTCTAGTCATTGCTACAGCCCTTTAATAGTCAGCTTTAAGTATCTCTAAGCTACGAAAACATTTTAGATTGCTTCAATAGAGTAACCATCTTTAAGTAAGGGTACCTGATGTTAATAAACATGACAGGACCCAATAAATAAGAAATATAAAAAATATCGCATTTGACAAAATTCTCTATTTCTCCCGATGAATTTCCTCAAATTTGTTTAAAATGTCTAAAAAACATGGCAAGAACCTTGTTTTATACCAGAAGCTATGAAAATAATTACTGAAGAATATACAATCCATAAAAGGACACTAATCTTAAATTCATCTTTCTGAGCAATTATCTGTGGTAGTTAGATATGACAGATGGGGGGACATGGACAAGTTGCTGAGATAATAGTAAGCATTTCTCAGATAATCCAGATTTTAGGCAATTAATATCATAGTAATTAAGGGTTCTTTAATTCTTTTATTAGTGCAAGTTGAAACATAAAAACGTAACTGAATGGCTATCCACATTCTGACATTCCACAATAATTTCATGCTAATAATAAAGCATTTATTTCACAGTTCCCCCGGTTTACATATTCCTAGTCATACAGATGACTAACAGTTGAATTGCTTTTCTACTCTTGTTTGCCTTGCCATTAAATAAACGCTGACTTTCTGCTTTAAATGTGTTGAGGGCCTACAATGACTGACTTAACATAACATAGCCAATGATACAGCAATAGGAACAATGTAAAACTTATCAATGTATTTGTATGCTGTCATGCAACAAAAATATACCAAGGTTGTTTAATGATATCTTATTATATCCCAAAGTATGCACCTTAGAAAGTATTTACACATTGTTCAGAAAACATAATATGGATATTCAGTAAATAAGTAATAGAGAAACATGCAATAGACTTATACTTTTCTAGTCTAATTCACTGTCTACCTTTAGTATACCAAGAAGATGTTAGAAGATGACTAACCATTGTGCCAATGCTACATGGCTTGCACTAAAATTAAGAGAAAAAAAATTCGTAAGCTAAATATAAATTATAAATACTTGCAAAAAGAATAAAATAAAATAAAATAAAATTACAGACTACAATTAGAAACACTTCCAGACTGGGCACAGTGGCTCAGCTTGTAATCCCAGCACTTTGGGAGACTGAGGTGAAAGGATTGCCTGAGCCTGGGGTTTTGAGACCAGCCTGGGCAACTTGTTGAGACCTCGTCTCTACAATGAATCACAAAAACTAGCCAGGCATGGTGGCGTGCATCTGTTGTTCCAGCTACTTGGAAGGCTAAGGTAGAAGGATCAACTAAGCCCAGCAGGTTGAGGCTGTGGTGGCCGTGAGCATACCACTGCACTCCAGCCTGGAGGACAAGAGTTTTGTTAGTTAATTTAGTTCAGATTATAAGTTCCTGTTCAATCTTTTTTCATCATCTTTAAATTTGTAATTTATCTTTTATTCCTGGTATCTTTCATTTATTAACGTTTTTTGTTTTGTTGTTTTACGTTGGAGTCTCACTCTATCATCTAGGCTGGAGCGCAGGGGCACGATCACAGCTCATTGCAGCCTCAACTTCCTGGGCTCCAGTGATCCTTCCACCTCAGCCTCATGAGGAGCTGGGACTACAGGCATGGGCCACCATGCCTAGCTAACACCCTCCCCCCAAAAGAAACACTTCCAAAATTTTAAAACTGCAGCAGAAGACACAATGTTTTCTTATGGGTTCATACATCATTCTCCAGGATAGTTCTCTATGTCTCTCCACTTCTCTATAGTTCTCTATAGTCTCTCTAAAGAATGCTTCAAGTAGCCCTTGGTTTAGCACATAAACACTCCAACAAGAGATTATATGTACATGCATCTTAAAATAATTACCTTTACAGTAGCTAAAAACCTGTCCAAAAGACTGCTAGCCAGAGCAAATGTTTCTGGATAAAGGTTGAACTGGTACTTGAGTTTGGCCAGCCACTGAATTACTTCATCTCTCTGGGATGGAGAAACATTCTATAAGGGAATAAAAACAAATAAATAAAATTAAAGTAAACAAAGACAAAGTTCAAATTATCATCAAGAGTATGTTTAGAATTCTCTCGATGGACTTAGAGTCCATAATATCGAGTGATCTATCACAGAAATAAGGAACTGAGTACCACATGTTCTCACTTATAAGCAGACCCTGAACACTTATCATAATACTTTAAGAAGGGGATTGGCAGTAGTGGGAAACTGCCAGGGGAGGGAGGGGGGCACACTGCATCACTAAGGTTACCTGATCTCAAACCAGGTGAAGTGGGGACCAAAGTAAGGTCCAAACTTTACCTATACAATGACCATTTGTATACCTAACCCAGAATTGTACCCCACATCTTTAAAATAAAAATAAAAGAATTCTCTCATAAAAGGCTAGTAAACATTACAAAAACTGTTTATATGTTAAAAAATGTTTTTAATGTCATTCAAAATCTATCAAACTTGAGATGGCTGAAGATAAAACTATACTGATTAATGCATTTAATATCAGTAGCTAATACCCTCTTAACTCTTTATTAAAGTATTCACCATCATCTTACCAAATATCTATGCTGCCTAGGCAACAGAGCAAGACCTCATCTCTACAAAAGAAAAAAAAAATGTTTTTTTAATTAGCTAGGCCTGGTGGCACATGCCTGTAGTCAAAACAACTCATGAGGCTGAGGTGGAAGGATCGCCAGAGCCCAGGAAGTTGAGGCTGCAATGGGCTGTAATCGTGCCCCTGCACTCCAGCCTAGGTGACAGAGTGAAACTCCATCTCAAAAAAACAAAACAAAAAACGGTAATAAATGAAAGATACTAAGAATAACAGATGAATTAAAATTTAAAGATGATGAAAAAAGATTGAACAGGGAGTTAATCTGACTAAATTTTTTCCACAAGCACAAAACATTATTCCTACATATTATTTTAAACTGCTGAGTATAGACTTAATTTTAAAAGGTATACACTTCAAAGCAATAATTATTAGATACTTTTACTCTTGAGTTTCAGAGTCACCATTAAAAAAAAAAAAACTAGTAATAATCTAATGCTAAATTAAACAGATTCTTATGAGTACTTCTGCCAGGTAAATACAACAAAGTACATAAATGACTGTGATTAGTGAAAAATTGTACCTTCAGTAAATGAGGATTCCAGACAAATGAAGTTAGCCCAAACACTGTAGTCTTTATTATTAGTACCATCTCTGATGGAAATTTCAAAAATATTAGTCATGCATCACTAAACAATAAGGATACATTTTGAAATGTCACGTGTTGTTAGATAATTTCACTGTTGTGTCAACACCATGAAGTATACTTAATCAAACCTAGATAGTTTAGTCTATTACATATCCAGGCTGTATGGTAGCCTACTGCTCCTAGGCTACAAAGCTATGCCGCATGTTACAGCATTGAATGCTATAGGCAACTGTAACACAATGGTACATATTTGCATATCTAAACAGAAAATATACAGTAAAAGTACAGTATAAAAAATAAAAATGCTCCACCTGTATAGGACACACACCAGGAATGGAGCCTGCAGGCCTGGAAGTTGCTCTGGGTGAATTGGTGAGTGAGTGGTGAGTGAAAGTGAAGGCCTAGGGATGTTACTGTAGACTACTATACAGACTTTATAAACACTGTATACACAGACTACACTACATTTATTTTTTAAATTTTCTTTCTTCAATAATAACCACCTATTAGTGATATCAGAGAGATAACTTCTATTTTACTGTACAGTTAGACTAGATCTATCGTTCCCAAACTGAATACATATCAAAAAAAGCATGAAACTTTTAAAAAATATAGATTTCCACAGCTGCCATTATCAGTCCAATAGGGCTCTGGGTGTGGGGCCTAGATTAAGGAATCTTCTGGGAGATTCTAATACACCTAGTAGCCTAGTGGTTCAAGATCCTTTAAGCCTTTAAAATTCCTTAGAGTTCCAAAATTCTAATGAAAATCATCTCTGTATAAACAGTTTATGGTAGGGTTTTTTTGTAAATCAATGCAGTTTAGCAAATAAATTGAGAACACCTAAAAGTATGTGTCACTTTGACCAGTTTTCAGTTTCCCCAAATAACAATATTATCACGAACTAGAAAGTACTAATATATAAAAGAACTTCTCTATATACAGGTGCCAACAGCATAATAGGGAACTTGAATAAATCCTAAAGGAATATGATAATCATTTATTTGAACCATATTTACTGTGGGTCTATTATATGCCAGTAATCAAAAATGACACAATTCTGTTGCCTCAAACCACCAGAAAATTGTAATACTGTATAAAGGAAGTCCAGAATGCTGTGGGAGCACACAGAACATGAGTGACAGGTAAGGAATAGGAGAGGCAAATTAAAAGAGAAAGCCTGGGCACAGTGGTTCATTTCTGTAATCCCACGGCTTTGGGAAGATGAGGCAGGAGGGCAGTTTGAGGCCTGGAGTCTGAGACCAGCCTGGGCAACATAGTTGAGACCTCATTTAAAAAATAAATATTTCGGGCTTGGTGGCACACATCTGTAGCCCCAGCAACCCAGGAGGTTGAGGCAGGAAGATTCCAAGCACCCAGGAGGTCAAAGTCACAGTGAGCTATGATCACATCACTGCACTCCAGCTTGGGTGACACTGTGAGACCCTGTCTCAAAACAACAACAAAATTATGAGGGAATGACTTCAAAGTCTGGGGCAGAGGAAGTTAGAAGAGGGAAATAAGAGGAAAAAAGCACAAAAGGTGCTAAAAGTTTCTAAAAGAACAGGTATACAGATAACAGTAAGTGAGAGGCCAGCTAGCTATCTCCCAAAAAGATTCCAACATTGGTAATACCTTACTAGTTCACTTGAATTCCTTACACAATATTTTACTTTTTCATTTATTACCAGCATTTCAAGAAAAAAATTAGAAAACTTAGAGTAACAGTGTTTGAAAGGAAGTAGAGAAGCATGTCCTCAGGAGTAGCAGAACAAAGGAATTAGAATAGAGACATGTACCTGGGCTTTATTCTGGCAAGCAGCTCAAGCCCCTATAGCTCCTTACCCTACCCTCATCTCATCTCCTATCCCCACTAGACTCAGCCCACCTAAATTACAAGTATTAAGTATGGCTTCTATATGGTATTAGTAAAGGCAAATCCTTAACAAGTGGGTCACTCCTAGTAGTTCTGATACTACTCTGTTCTTTGGTATTACCTAATACTTGTTAATCTCTATAGAAACAGGCCAGATTAAGTGTTAATATAGCAATATACTGTTAATTTTGGGTAGATTATTACCTGCAAAGACCATGTGATAAAAGTATACTGCTGTTGGTTACATGCTGACTCAAGGAGACAGCAGGAGGAAGAGGAAAGAAATAGTTCTAAAAGCAGCTGGAGAAAAGACTCGGTGGCTCAGCCTGTAATCCCAGCACTTTGGGAGGCCAAGGCGAGTGGATTGCCTGAGCCTGCGGGTTTGAGACCCGCCCAGGCAACTTGGCGAGACCTCATCTCTACAATAAATCAAAAAAAAAAAGAAGAAAGAAAAGAAAAGGTCTGAGGTTCACTAGAATGTTACAACATAAGGGCAGAAAGTTTTTTTCTACTCTTATGTTCCTAATACCTAGAATAGTGTCTGAAATACAGCAGATACTCAAAATAACATTTGCTAAATGACTAAATTCCCAAGTAATCTAAAATTCACATGCACAGAAATATAAAAATGAAAAAAGTATAATGGAAAGAGAAAATGCCTTAGAAAGAGGTTCAAGTTAGAATTTTGTTACTTATTAAAGTCTTGAGCAAATCGGTGCTACTGCCTATTTCAAAGGCTTAAATATCAAAAGAGACAGTGCATATATAAATGCTCATAGCATAGAAGGCAGCATAAAAAGCTAATTTGCAATTTGCAAAATGCCAAATAACAATAAATGTAGAATATATTTCTTCAGCTTGTGGGAAAGAATGATGCAAGTAGGAAAAATTAGAATACAGAATTAGAAAAGGCATACAGATTCCAACCTATGAGCAAAGGATAGCCCAGGAGGCTTAGGTATCTGTCACTCATTCACCCATACATATTAAACAATTTCTTGGTCACTACTTCATACTCCAAGCACATTAGATACTCAGGATAAAAAATTGTGCAAGACATCTTATCCAGTCAACATTTGAATACACTTCATAATTATTTGTGAGAAATGAGTATAAAAGTTTCTAAAAGAACAGGTATACAGATAACAGTAAGTGAGAGGCCAGCTAGCTATCTCCCAAAAAAGATTCCAACATTGGTAATACCTTACTAGTTCACTTGAATTCCTGAAAACTGCTGATGAAAAAGCAATTTTTTATTCATTAAAGACACTGGTGGTCGGGCATAGTGGCTCACACCTATAATCCTAGCACTTTGGAAGACTGAGGCAGGAGTATCACTGGAGCCCAGGAATTTGAGACCAGTCTGGGCAACACAGCAAGATCCCCATCTTTATAAGAATTTTTTTTTAATTAACCAGGCATGGTGGTGCACGCCTGTAATCCTAGCTATTTGGGAGGTTGAGGCAGGAGGGTCACTTGAGCCCAAGAGAGCTTGAGGTTACAGTGAGCTATGATCATGCTACTGCACTCCAGCCTGGGCAACAGAGCCAGATCTTGTCTCAAAAAAAAAAAAAAAAGAAAAAAAAAGACAATGTGTAGCTTCAGTCTCTGTGGCTAACTATATGAGTGAGATCCCCCTCCCTGAAAAACCCTGGAATTGATTAATAAAAAATTGTGTATTTTTTTAAATTTTAAATTTCAGTCACCTTTAAAGTACTCTCCATTTGATGCAATTCATCTATTGAGACGCTTTTTCCACTGCTCAAAAGTTTTGGAACTTGTCAAGTTTGTTGCCTTTTAGTGCTCCTGCCATTCTTGTTTCACCTTTTCCACATGAGCAAAATGTTTCCCATTCTTGGCAAACAACAAAAAAAAGCTGCTCAAGGTGACATGCAGTGAATAGGGATGGTGAGGCATGGGGGTCAAGCTGTTTTTGGTCAAAAACACAGCATGATGTACGCAAGCACACTGATAAATCACCCATCATGAAACGGGCAAACATGTTAAAAGACTCTCCAAAACAAATTCACTGAAGTCAAACACAGCCTCTCACAATGATGCTTTAGGTACAATGATGCCGATGGGTTCCTAGAACACTTACCTAGTGGGAGAAGCCTGTACTACAAGGAGCCCACACTCCAAAAAATAATTCCAGGTTTTTTTGGTCCCTCCTTGTATATTCAGAAATAAAGAAGGTTTACTACTGTCAGTATTAGACAATGAGGAAAGAGAATTAATCTAACTAACTTCTAAAAGCTGTAACTTAGATTACAATAAAATTAACAATGTAAAATGTTTCCGAAGGAAACAAGGTGCTTCTCAAATAAAGACTAGAGCACATCCTTTAGCAGTACATATTCCTCCAATGCAGTATAAAGAAAATATTATATGTGGCAGTGGTACAATTATTTTTTATAAAATTTATTGATCTAAAGACAGAAATCATTACCTGATTTGTAGGCATTTTCGGCACATTCACTTTCCACATCTGGGCTTCCCTAGAGATTGCCTTTTCCAACAGGAAAGACAATCTCTGGTTTTCCAAAGGTCCTGGAAACTTCATGATACCCTTTGGATCTGTATGTCACCCAGCTTGATGTAGCTACCTATAAAATCAAACATAAATGTTTTAAATTTAATTATAGAGTAAGTGTAGCATTATCTTTTATATATAATACATATAAATATATTGGTACTTATTAAGCAATTCATAAAACAAAGTAAGAATGTTATGAGGCAGTATAGGGTTTTACAGCTCTTAAAAATATATGTTAAAATATTACAATAGTGAGCTACCTAAAACATTCTCATTTTAAATCTGAAATTCAGCTATGAAGAGTATAAAAACAAGGCTATAAAATTGACAGAACCTTTGGACTCTGATCAAAGCATGTTATTACTATGTCAAACTGTCAAACTTTTGCCAGACTTTTTATACTACGAATCCTTAGAAGTAGTTGTTCCAAACATTCCGCTTAAAAACTTCGTCAAGTAAGAGCCACTACAGTTTCTCTTCATTAAGAAAGCATATCAATTACATTAAATCCTGCCCATTGCCACTTCTTCAGTATGAAACCACCCCCTTCAGTAAGAAACCATCTTAAACTGTGCTTCTAATTCAGCATCCACCAGCTACACATGTGGCTATTTAAATTTGACTTGACTAAAAAGAAATCACTTTAAAAATCAATTATTGAGTCATACTAGCTCCACTTCAAGTATAGCCACATGTGGCTAGTGGATACTGCATTAGACAGTACAGAAAAGGATCATTTCTAGCAATGCAGAAAGTTTTTTTTTTTGAGTTGGAGTCTCACTCTGTCGTCCAGACTGGAGTGCAGTGGCCGCTCCCGGCCACCGCAGCCTCGGCCTGCTGGGCTCCAGCGATCCTTCCGCCTCAGCCTTCTGAGTAGCCGGAATTACAGGCATGCACCACCACACCCAGCTGATTTTTTGATTTATTGCAGAGATGAGGTCTCACTGCCCAGGCGGGTCTCGAACCCGCGGGCTCAGGCAATTCACTCACCTCAGCCTCCCAAAGGCGCGGGATTACAGGCTGAGCCACCGAGCCCGGCTAATGCAGAAAGTTTTATTGGACAGTGGTGATCATGAAAGTTCCACTGCACAGTGACTAGCACTCTAAAATAAACAGTAAGTCTAAACAGCAACAGTCTGCAGTACAGACGCAACTGAGAGTCCAAGAGAAATGTCTCTAAGGTTAAAAAAAAGTCAACTACAGAACTGAAAGGTTTGACTTAAGAAAATTAAATCAGGGTTGGGGGTGGGGGATAGAATTGGCAGTAGTGGGAAACTGTGGGGGGCATGACAACACACCTCATCAACAAGAGTACCTGCATAATGAACATTTGTATACCTATCCCTGAATTGTACTCCACATCTTTAAAAATAAAAAAGAAAATTAAATTAGGAAGTTGCTGAAGAATGTGAAAGGTCTGGCTTGATTCGTTGAAAGCTAAGCAACAAAAATGGTGGTTAACTTCAGAAAGAAAGATTACACAAGAAAGTAAATAGAGCATAGTGTTTACATAACAATAATAATGAAAATACTGGATACAGATTTCTTTCTTTCTTTTTTTTGGTTATTTATTTTAGAGCCGAAGTCTCACCAAGTTGCCCAGACTGGTTTTGAACTCCTGGCCTCAAGCAATCCTCTTGCCTCGGTCTCCCAATGTGCTGAGATTATAGGCTGAACCACCACACCCAGCCCAGATTTCAACAAACATTGTGATAAAACTGCATTGGGAAGATAAGGGAATATAAATATGGGAGTAGGGAGAGGGCAGAATGAAATCTGTAAATATCTAAAACTGAAATATCAAAAAAAACAGTAGAAGGAATCCCTATCAGTACTCATTACTAAACATCCTTGCAACTAAAAATTAGTTGTACTCCTCCCCCAAGCTACTGATATAAAATTTTTTTAAAAATTAAATAACAGTAGGACAAGCTACTTGAAAGTGTGATCTTAAAGAAAGAGAGAAGAGTTGATAATGGTTGACTCTGGAGAGTGAGAAGAGTTAGGTAAGAAAGGCCTACAGCAGGGGAATGCTGTTTTTCATTATAAACCTCACACAACCATTTGACTTTTTCTACGATGTACCTGTATTATGTGCTTCAGATTCACAAGATCTAAGGATGTTTTTAATGTCCAGAATTAACATAGGAAAAGTTCCATATGTTTTAAAAAAATAAAAAATAAAAAAATAACCTGGGTATAGTGGCTCACACCTGTAATCCCAGCACTTTGGGAGGGTGGGGAAGACAACTGCCTGAGCTCACAGGTTCAAGACCAGCCTGGGCAACATGGTGAGATGTTGTCTCCACAATAAATCAAAAAATTAGCTGAGTGTGGTGGTGCACGCCTATGGTTCCAGCTATTTGGAAGGCTGAGGCGGAAGGATTGCAGCCTGGGTGACAGAGTGAGACTCCTATTCAAAAACAAACAAACAAACAAAAAAACACAAAAGATAAACCTCTTTTTCAGTTTCCACATTCTATCCAACTCCAGCTACCATCCTCTTTCCTATTAATCACTCCACAAACACCAAACACTACCTACTTGCTTCTCAACTTATTGCAGACTACCTCTGGTTAACTGAATTATGATTTTTTAAAATCTGTATCTTTAAACTCCTGAGTTTTAGCAAATCCTCTTAATGAGCACGGAATAAATGCACCCTAAGATGACAAAAGGTGAACAACTTAGCAAGGAAAAAACTAATACCTATCTTAAAAGACCACATTCAAAGCTAATTTCTTCCAAAAACTCTTGATTGTCGAATCATGTGATTTTTCTCTCCTCTGAAAGTGGTTTTCCACCATCTTCCCCAATAAAGTATAAATTCCTTTGAGGTCACATTTACCAATATCATCCTTTTATCATTCACTACGCCCACAGCATAGTACTTTGATGAAACAGGAACTCAACCGACATTTTCAGTTTCTACCACTGGGGCCCAAAACAAAAACATGCAACCAAAAACAAAACAAACAAACCCAGCAAATCTAATTTCTTCCACAAGTCAATACTCCCATGTTTGAAGGCTGCTATCATAGCTCACCAACTAATCTTTTTCATCACTGAAAAACTGTTCAATAGTTCCTCACACGACATTTACCTTCCTCTAAATTAACACCAGTTTTACTATAAATGCAGTCTAAAAACACAAGGTATTTTTTTGAAGGCCACACCTCACTATCACTGCAAATAAAATATATGGTCAACAGAAACTCTTGAGACTTTCTTAGGTAAACTGTTAAGCCAACTCCTGTCCCAAACCATGTGTAGGCTTTGGTGCCTTTTTCTTTTTACAGTCCTGTTCAGAAATGTAAATACATCATTTATTTAAAAAAGAAAAAGTCACATTCTTAGGTTCTATACCCTAACAACACCGTGCTGAAATGTTTTGGGATTTCAATTTTGTTGCCTTGGTACTTTTCTCAGATCTTCCACAATTTGCTGAGCAGGTTCATTATAACTTCAGCTAATGCAGACATAAATATTAACCTTAGAAATGAAATATAAGGGTACTTGCATAATCAATGTTTGTATACCTAACCCTGAATTGTACCCCACATCTTTATTAAAAAAAAAAAAAAAAAGAAGAAATGAAATATAAATTAGATGACTATCTATCAAGAGATATTTTAGAAGAAGTACCTGTACTGGATGGAGATTAATTAGACTTCAGAAGTTCTCAGGTTTCTTTCAAACTTCTGTCAAAAACCTCAAACTAAACCAGGCACAGTAGCTCCATCCTTGCAATCCTGCACTTTGGGAGACCGAGGTGAGATGACTGCTTGAGCCCAAGAGTTCAAGACCAGCCTAGGCAACATAGTGAAACCCTGTGCCTACCAAAAAAAAATAATTAAAAAATTAGCCGGGCATGGTTGCATGCACCTGTAGTCCCAGCTACTCAGGAGGCTGAGACAGAAGGATAGCTTGAGCATAGGAGGTCAAGGCTGCAGTGAGCCGTGATTATGCCACTGCACTTCAGCCTGGGGGACAGAGTGAGACTCTAACACAGAATAACGTAAAAAAAGACCGAGCTGGGCACAGTGGCTCACGCCTATAATCTCAGAACTTTGGGGAGGGCAAGGTGGAAGGATCACCTGAGCCCAGAAGTTCAAGACCAGTCTGAAGAACATAGTAAGACCCTGTCTCTACAAAAAAATCAAAAGTTAGCCAGAAGCAGTGGTGTACGCACGCCTTAAGTACCAGCACTCAGAAGGCTGAGGGGGAAGGATAGCTTGAACCTAGGAGGTTGAGGTTGTGGTGAACTGTCATCATGCTACTGCACTCCAGCCTGGGCAACAGACCAAGACCCTGACTTTAAAAAAAAGAAAGAAAAAAAAGAAAAAGGGTTCAAAGGATTCCTATTCTAACCTCCTACAATTAAGGCCCTTAGTAAGACTTTTAAATATTTAGATGCTATAACAACTTCTTTAAAACAAAGGAATCTCGTCAAAGAAGAAATCATAGGAAAATTAGAATATACTTTAAGACGAGTGAAAATGAAGACACAACATACAAAACTGATGGGATGCCATGAAAGCAATGCTTAGTGGAAAATCAATACCTGAAAATGCCTATATTAAATAAATAAACAGCCTCACTATTCCTAAGATAATGGAAAAAGAGAAAACTTTATCTAAACCAAGACAGAAGCAAGGAAATAATAAACATTAGAATGGAAGTTAATAGAGAATACAAAAATAATAGAGAAAAATAAATGAAACCAAGAGTTGGTTCTTTATAAAGATCAAAATTGGCAAACTTTTAGCTGACTGGCCAGGAAAAAATAACAGAAGACAAATTATTTAAATTGGAAATAAAAAGGGGACATTACTACCTACTTTGCAGAAATAAAAATTATGAAATTGCATGACAATCTTATGCAAATAAATTGGACAGTTAACACATTTGCAACAGGCAAATTTTTCTCTTTCCTAATACTGATTGAGGGTGAAAATTTAAAAAAAAAATCTGAAGCTGGTTGTCGCAAATGTCTGTTAAGCACAAGTGAAATGGTCTTTTCTAAATCTACACCTTTTTCACAATACAGCTGAAAGTTGCAGACATACCCA